ATCCATTTTGGACTGCTCAGACAAGCGTCGTAAAGATGCAAATTCACGTCTCTTCTGTCGCGACTTGCGACGCATTTAGAGCCATTTCGGCCCAACATTCCGAATCATCCTTACCATAATGTGACTCGATTCTCTTTCTATAGGAATGAGTTCATCTCCGTTAAACTGATTCCCGCAGGGAACCATCGTCGGATCGGATTACTTTAGCTTAAATGGATTCGGTGCATCTCACCCAATATCATCGATGGCACGCACGTAAAGGGACGCCGACGAAGAGGACAGATCGCGTGTTCACTTCCATCCACCTCGAGGATTTGTTTCCTCCAGCAGATTCTCACCGTGCCCGAGGCGTTTCCTCCTCGGAACGAATGGCCTTGCCAAACCCTTCCCCCTCCGCTATAAGTGTTCTGACTTCTTCTATCTCTTCAAATGAATCGAGCGCAAGACGAGGGCTGCAGAAGCTTTCCTTCCGATGCATTCGGGCTACGCCATGTTGCACGCGCTCGCATTCTATAGAAAGATGATGAAGATGAAGATCTTGGCAAGATGATGAAAGCAGTGTTTCAACATGTAAAGACTCTGTTGCGTTCAGTATTTTGCTTTCAAGATTTCACATCGTCCAAATGCGCGAATCCAATTTTCTTAATGGCTTCGCGAAAGGAATAGTGAAAGTTCCTCTTTCCCCTGGGATCACAAAGTAACCCCTCCGCCAGCCAGGCCCAGTTGATAAGGTGGGGTCAGCAGAAGAATTTTTTCAGTATCCGTCCTACTCGAGGGGGGGGGGGGGGGGGGAAGACAGCCCTATTGGTGTGCCTATGGCTGTTTTCCATCGTGTTCTGAAAGGAATTAGCGGCTTCTCTCACCAGGATCTGTTTTCTCACTCTCTAGCTATTTTTCAGTTGCTTCGTTAGCGGCTAGAGTGGAATAGAGTGAGTGCGCTTTTTTCACATCGTCTGGATATTCGTTGTCACTGTTGGCTTGAAATGAACTCCCACTCTAATCAAGCAGAATTGATTGATTATTGCCCACGCGAATCTTCGTTGTCATTTCCTTTCATTCTGAAAAAGAAAATCACCTAAAACACTCACTTTCTGGAAGAGATATGAATTAAGATAATCTATTTTTGGATACTGTGTGTGGAACACAGGTTTCGTATCCAAGAGCAGATGGATACGAGACTTGATCAAAAAGTTTTAGGACATGACTTTAGTGGACTGGGGTCTTGGAGTTACTTGCTGGGGTCACCTTCAAGGTAGTCCCCTTGAGTGTCCACACACGTCTGCCAGCCCCCTGCCCCCCCCCCCCCCTGCCCCCGGTTGGAAAGTATATTTTCTTCAGCTGGGCATCAATTGCATATACGTAGCTTCACTTTTGCAAAACACTATAATGAAATTATAGTGTTTTGCAAAAGTGCCAAAAGTGCCACGACTGCCATTCGAATCCGCGTCTCCCGAGACTCAACCGAGCGGGTCATCTTAGCCTCTAGGCCGTGGATGGACAGACGGTCGAATGCGAGGGCGTGGAGCTTATTGCTGCTTCTTTTTTGGTGGCTGGCGTTTCCCACGCTTGTTCTGATACTACTTATCTCGTGGATACGAGAGATAAACATTCGGCATCGTGGGGCACGTACATACGTACCGTCCGTGAGGCCGTCAGAAACGAGACATATTGGAAAGCAAAATGTGGTTCGTGGAGGAAGAGGTCGACTCGGAAACGTGTGAAGTGGACGTGTTTCTCTTCAAATTCCTTGTCGTGTATCGGCAGACGGTGGAAGAAAAGTGGTCCGTCGTGTTCACCTCTGAAAATTGGAGGTCGACGAACGAACGCGGCAAGTCCGTCGTCCGCTGGAGGACCTACACGGGCCTGAACCACGGAGGCACCGTGTGTCCCAGATGCTGCCAGGAGCTCCCATCGGCGAGTGGCCGGTACTACGAGATCGGGAGGGTGAAGTCTTCGCCCAGAGCGCTGCAGGACGCCGCAAGGGCCAACCCCCTCAACGGGACGACGTACGACGCTGCAAGCAACGGTTCCCGGCATTGGGTCGAGGAAACGATGAGGAGCCTCGGAGGAAACTTGGAACGCGACCTTGCCACGAATCCGAGGGACGTAACGGACGAGTGCTTCTACGGACGATTCCCTTTCGTCGGGGAACCGAGCTCGTACGGATTCCTCCCCTGTCTGCTCTTCGTATCCCACGGCGAAAGCGAAGGACCGGAGAAATGGGGCTTGGTGTTTCGCGAGCACTGCGGCAAATGGATCACGTTCGACGTATCTATAAGGGATGGGAAGATGTGGCCGCGACTTCGAGCTCAACTTCCAGCCGAGCACGGAAAGTATTATTTTCTCGGTCTCACGCGACTCGACCCCGATTTACAGGGAATCGCAGGCGAATGTACGCTGAACGGCACCCCTTACGATGTGGACAAGAATCATTCGCAGCATTGGGTAAAGGAAATGGCCGTCAGAGTGAAGCCGGAATGGGAAACGATGAACCCGTTGCCATTTCCACGCCCTCCTTTGTGGCTTTTCATCCTCATCTGCATTATTTTTTGCGCGAATCCGGCTATCTTCCAGGTGCTATTTATTCTCGGCGTGGCCTTCGGGTATCATCTGTATTCGATTCTGTTGCCCGACTCGAACTCGCCGATCGACGCCATGACCTTGATCCCTTGGCTTTGGCCCCTCGATCTCTGGCCCACCATATCGAACGTCGAGGCAGGACTGGAAAGACGTGCATGAAAGAGAAAATCGTTTTGATTCCCCCAATGCAAAAAAAAGCCCAAGGACAGAGTCAACTAACCGCCCATCCTGCACACCAAGCTCTCTGGACATTTCTGCCGAGTCCTTTCTCGATCGCAATCTGGACCGAGTCAGACATGGATAGGTGAATCGATGTTAAAATCCTACCCTCTCTGAGACCCTCACTTTAACCTCCACCTCCTCCTCCTCCTCCACCTCCCATTAAGCTACGCTCCACGAAACGGCTGCCTCCGCATCACGGAGGCCCCAGTCCGGCTCTGCGTGGCCCCTCGGAAGAAGGCATGGGGTCAGCTCTCGATATTGCCACCAAGCGGAATCCGCAGGTTCGCGTTTACGTGCGGCACCTTTTCCCGATTCGAAGTCGTGTCGTATTTCTTTCTCGTGCAAAATAAAGGGTCGCAGCAGAGTCATGCCTTGCATGTCCTTCTTACGTTTTCCCCATCTCGAAAGCACGATGCAGTCGTTCTGGCATTCCTCGCGTGAGACATGCAAATATTCAGTGTTCCGTCAGGATTGCAGGCACGTCGCCTACACGATGAAAATCGATGCTTATGATTGCCTCGTCTGTGGCTATCTCCGAGTCCTTTATCTTCCAAAATTTCTTCTATCGCTCACTCAACTCCATTTATTAATCTGATTGAACATAGATGGCAAAAAAAAAGAATCAGGTTTGACTCGACTGGTTGAAACGGTGATTCGCCCCGAGACGGATGGGACGAGCACCCAAGCAGGAACGGCTGTTCATCTCTCGCTAATTGCCTCTATACAGGATTTGGCTTTGCCCCCCCCCCCCTGCATGTTCTTACTCGCCTCTCCACTGCACCAACCCCACCCATTCCCCATCTACACACTCACCATCAGAGGATTAGGTGAAGTGGGTCGCATGCCCCCCCCCCCCCCCTTGAGGATGCCCTGGCCATGAAAGAGGCTTCATGGCGCCCCGCGGTTTTTGGATAAATTGCATGCGGCAGCAAGCTCACAAACGGACTCGTCGGGGATCGTTAGGAAGGATTGGACTGATTTTTGTCGCTATTTTTGGGTACAAAAAAGGACGCGAAGATTTCGAAGCTCCTTTTTAGCGTAGCCTCACGTGGAGATTTCATATTCACCCCAAGTTTCCTCGGTCTCCTCGGTCCCCATATGCTGATGGCCCGCGAACCCCGAAAGATCCCTCAGCCAGAAGTGATTCGATCCCGAGATGAAATCGATTCCAGCAATCTCGTCTGCTCCCAGAATCCTCGAACCTAGCCCCCCCCCCCAAACCCCCAGAATCGTGACGTTGCCTCGTGCAGCAGATCGCCTGACTCCGCGATCATCCTGGCGATCCTCACGCCTTGCTCACATCATGCGTCCATGCTCACATCATGCGTCCATGCAAACATCTTGCGTTCTTGCTTTCATTGGAAGCGTATCCACATGATTCATACTCGAAGGATTCCAGATTTGTCAATCATCAGTGACTTCTTACAATTTTTCTCGGCGTCATTCTCTTGAACCTTGGGATTCCTTTCCTTCTCTTAGTTTTCCTGCTTCTGATTCTTCCGTGTTCGATTCTATAAGCCACCTGGAAGGATTTTGTCCCCCATCAGGTCGCGCGTGAAATGAGTTCCAGGAAAATGCGATTTTGCCTTGTTCCTCTGGGGAAATTGGGTAAATTGGGTGATGACAATCTCAGAGGTAATTTAACCATTTATCTTACATGAAAGTGCAATTTATACAAAATCCATCAGCCGCTTCATGCATAGAGAATACAGCTCAGAAGCCGTGCTTCTAATTAGCACCACATAAATTATGCCCAATTCTACTCGAGTAAGCATTGGGAAACTTCCTGAATGTAATCAAATTAACTACGCCTCACTGCGAATGAACTCTTCGGAATAAAATACATAAGAATTCACAGCCACGGCGCCCCTTCAAGCTTGAATAACGTAGAAAGAAAACACACAAAACGAAAACCAAGAGACTAAATCGACGGTGCAAGTGCTCCGCGTCGTAAGAGATCACCACGTATTTTACTGCTGGTATTTTTCCGTTGGTATTTTGCCGTCGGTATGTTATTTCTGGTCCTTCTGGAGTTCGCGGTTGAGCCAGTCGAGACCCTCGAAGATCCCGGATCCGTTGACGGCACAGGTCCCCTGGACGTACCATCGTCTGCAGTGGACCTTGTGGAGCCTCATCCTCTCCGTCACCTCCGACACGGTCGAAGACATCGGCAGGTCCTGAACGAGACGAGAAATGCATCATCGTCCATCCTTCCCTCCGGACCTGCTCGGAGGAGATTCCGGATGGAGACTCGCCTGTTTGTTGGCCAGCACGAGCAGCGCGGCGTCGCGGAGTTCGTCCGCCCCCAGCACCTCATCCAATTCCTCAGCCGCTTCCTGGATCCTCGCGGAGTCGGACGAATCCACCACGTAGATCACCGCCTGGTTATCGTTAAGGTAAATAATTAATCACTCATTCCCATGCGCACGCCTCAGATGCATGGGGACAGTAGATCGAAGCGCAATAGTTCAGGCTGTATATTTTATGTGCGGCGAAAGCAGTGCCTTCATATCTCGATTATTTTCGGCGATATCCCTCTCTATTACATTCCTCGAGCAAAAGTCATCATTTCAATCATTGGATTCGCGTTGTTATTTTCCCAATGGAAATACAATGGTGCCATAAATTCAACTTGATCGACGAACGGTGCATTGCAGGCAAAAAGTCTTCGTTTCAGCAAACTGAGTCTGAGGGACTTCGTGTAAATGTTGGTGAATATTTCACCACCTTCAAATAGTTACATCCTTTCATTTTTCTTTTAGCTTCTTTAAAAATATGTTGACTGCTATTATTTTCCAAATAACGGACTGGTGAAACTTCTTTGTTTCCACAAGTACTTGAGATTTCAATGCCAAAAGAGGAACAAGTTCCAATTTTATATGAGCCGCTTAAATTGCGTCATTCGAGTTATAATTGTAGATACTCACGTGGGTGCCCTGGTAATAGTGTCTCCAGAGTGGTCGGATGGTGGTCTGTCCCCCGACGTCCCACACCGTCATCGTCAGGTTCTTGTACTCCAGGGTTTCCACGTTGAAGCCGATCGTCGGGATCGTGTGCACGATCTCGCCGACTTTCAGCTTGTATAGGATCGTCGTCTTCCCTGCGAGGATGACAGGTCGAATCGTGATCCGAATCCTGAGTCGTGCGAGTCGAACGTCGACGTCGAAACTCGAAACTCGAAACAGTTTCTTGAGTTTAGAGGATTCGATTCAGATCACGGCCTTATTGAATCAGATTCGAATCGCAAAACTGAATCATGAACTCATGTGATCGGGTCGGAAGTGAACACTGGGTTGATGAAGGAGTATATACTCGGTCCACAGCCCTTTAACTAGACAGATTCCCTTAGTGAGTTCCGAAACGGACTATCCCGACAATTTTTGAGAGTCTCATTGACCGTCAATTCAGCTTCCTCGTGTTGCGTACGATCCATGTCTACGAGTATGTAATTCAAAAAGGGAATAGAGTAGAACTTGTAAGCCCTCTGCTTTTTAAGCATCCGCAAAAAGTATCTGCGAGGTTCAGGCCAAGAAACAGCGGGCTAGAGAAAACCATAATCACGTCTGTGTACTTCTCCATCATAATTGGCATGATGGAGACTTGAAAGGCTCTAGTCTCGAACCTCACTTTTCTTACATGGTGTAATGAGAGAATGAACTGCACGAAATACTCTTCTTCGAGTCATGATATACTCATAAAATGAATGACGAACAGTGGAAAACAGACCAGCTCCATCGAGACCGATCATGAGAATCCTGACGCTCTTCTTCCCCGACAGGGACTCCAGGAACTTCTCCAACAAGGTGCTCAAGTAACCTCCCATCCCGATCGCACTTGAGGATTCAAAAAGCCGCAGAGAGAAGAGAACCGACCCGAAACTGAAGTCTCAACCACCTCCTCCCCCTTATATGCATCCTCGCCCCAGCCGACGTGGCCGGCGCCACGTGGAGGGAGCCGCGTGGCTCCCTCCACGTGGAGTGTACGAGGTTGCTAGGCGACAAGGGCTGATTCATGGCCGTGATGAATCTCTGAGCAAAGTTTGGTGTCTGCTATGGTGTGTGCGACCGTCGGTATCGGAAATCAATCACCCGGCCACGTCGTGCCATGTCGTCGCGGATGCCAATGGCACCTTAACGATCCCATCCGAAGGCAAGGAACAACAAAGAACAAGTTTCCAATTTTTTCGGCTATTATAAATTATTTGCAGCCACTCCTGAAGTAACAAGGGTTGGTTAGGAGTGGGTGGCTTTTGACTCCAATGCTATTTTCGACATTCTTTTTTGCTGTTGGGGCTGCCGAATATTGGCTCTCATGTTACTTTCCCATAGAAATTTATTTGATGCTACAGCTCACTGAGCCATCTCAAAGCCGCTCCAGATGACGTTGCTTTTTTATTAATCCACTACATGATGCCAATTATTCAATTGCTTCGAAATTCGTAAGCGTTCTATTTAGGACAAATTCATTAATAAGAAAAAAGAGGTTGGCACTGTCTGGTTCTGCCGTTTCGTAATTTCAACTTTCACACAGATATCTCTCCATTTTTTTGTCATGCGTCTATGCTATCCGTGGCTGGGGAGCATTAGTAAAACATGTGATGTCTCTCCTTTGGTTTCTGACCGGGTTGGCCTGAAGTAGAGACAGCGTGAAATATTAATCCTTAAATTGGCGGGTGATTATACTTGTTTTGACCATAGAGCATTCTATTCTATTTTAGATAGATTTGCGCTTTCTTCATCAGTTTTCTGTTGATTCCTCCTTCGCCCAACATGGTCTGTGCCAATCTAGTTCCAGGAGTTCTATTCTAAATGTGGAAAATCACAATTTGACAGAAACTTTTTACTTGGGGAGGAAACCGAAATCCCCGTGCCCCGCGTCCAACGCGAAATTTTTTCCTTTTTGGTTGCAATGGGGAATCGGAGAAAGGACATTTTACCCTCCCACGCATTTGCATGTTTTTCAGGTGCATTAAGGCATCGAGTTTCTGCAAAATTCGATGCAGATTGCGTCGACCGACTCGTGCCCGAGATTAGTCCGTAGAGCACTTTCTGTCTGTACGATTCTGAGAAGCTTATTTTATAAGCCGAGAGTCGACACCTTCCCACAAATGTCACGATGCCTCACGATTACGACGTCACTGCGAGTGGACGGCGAAGTTGTGACGCACGATTCAAATCATGCTGGACGAACATAAATAAACTCGCAATGCGGCCTGGTAAAAGAAAAAGAAAAACTATCAATCCAGCCGAATGAATTTTCAGTTCAAGGCGAGCAATAGCGAAAGCGGTGGAAACGTAAGGTTCCCCCCGTTGCCGTCTGCATTCGAAGAACAATTATTCGGAGAAATGTATTTAATTTGCAGAGTCTCACTAATTTCCATGATTCAATAAGCGAACGGAAATAAAGCGTGATTGAATCCTCAGCGCACGAAGTGATGCGGTGGTGCCGGAATCATCATTTTCAATCGTGTTCCTCCACGCAGCTCTTCCGGAAGATCGATGGAAAGGAATTGCTTCCGATTCCTTTCTTCACGTCTCATAGAAGGATGTCGAGAGGGTATTTGCATTTTCAACAGATAATTCTGGCGTCATTGGAAATCATCGGAACTTTATTTCAGGCTATTTCTCGAGTTTGGTGCACAGGGGATTAATCGTTCACCGGGATGAAACACATCGCAAGGAAGAAGGACCTGCTGCTGTGTTATTTTCTAGAGAGGTGAGACGCGGTACAGGTTGCAGCGGTGAGAACCTGCTTCGATTCGGCGAATGAATAGAAAACGGAGAAACTTAATCGACGGTACAAGTCCTCCACGTCGGAAGGCATCACTGGTATTTCACTCTGCTGGTATCTCATTTCTGGTCCTTCTGGAGTTCGCGGTTGAGCCAGTCGAGACCCTCGAAGATCCCGGATCCGTTGACGGCACAGGTCCCCTGGACGTACCATCGTCTGCCGTGGACCTTGTGGAGCCTCATCCTCTCCGTCACCTCCGACACGGTCGAAGACATCGGCAGGTCCTAAACGAGACGAGAAATGCATCATCGTCGATCCTTCCCTCCGGACCTGCTCGGAGGAGATTCCGGATGGAGACTCGCCTGTTTGTTGGCCAGCACGAGCAGCGCGGCGTCGCGGAGTTCGTCCGCCCCCAGCACCTCATCCAATTCCTCAGTCGCTTCCTGGATCCTCGCGGAGTCGGACGAGTCCACCACGTAGATCACCGCCTGGTCATCGTCAAGTCAACAAGTTTACTGCTTGTTTATCTTGTACACGCCTCAGATACAGAGAGACATTTTTTTTTAGTTCAGACTTTATATTTAAAGGCTTTTTCGGAGATGTTTTGGGTCGCATTGCATTGCTTCTGAACTTCAGCCGTTAGAGAAGAAAAGAAAATTTTCAGCACATGACGTTTCTATTTGGAGCCAATTCATGCCAGTGAATTTAATCATAAGCCTTCCATAATCAGAATAATTCCTATCGCTGCAATACTTGTCCTTCCTGGCGATCGATACGCATCGAAGATACTCACGTGGGTACCCGGGTAATAGTGCCTCCAGAGGGGTCGGATGGTGGTCTGTCCCCCGACGTCCCACACCGTCATCGTCAGGTTCTTGTACTCCAGGGTTTCCACGTTGAAGCCGATCGTCGGGATCGTGTGCACGATCTCGCCGACTTTCAGCTTGTATAGGATCGTCGTCTTCCCTGCGAGGATGACAGGTCGAATCGTGAGTCGCGAGTCGTGCGAGTCGAGCGTTCAACCTCTGAGCGATCTCTCGAATTTAGAGGATTCCAATCGGATCGGAATCACGGCCTTATTGAAGCAGATTCCAACCGCAAAACTGAATCATGAGCCCTCGTGATCGCGTCAGAAACGAACCCTTAAATTTATTGTGCTCTATCAGACATCCCAACCTTGGCAAAAAAAGTTGCTAAAAATCTCAAATTCTGATCGAAAGTTTGGAATGGAGAACTGGATTCGATGGGCAGTTCTCCATGAGTTCTTTCATCCCTTCACTTCCTTAACATGAAAACATAAGGTAACAAACGATGAGACTGGGAAAGCGGATTGAGGGAGATGAAAGAGCATTATTCGATGAGAGATTCTCTCATGGAGTTCCGAATGGGATTCTCCGAGATCTGCGGGAATCCATTGGCATGCAATGCAGACGCTCCCTCACGTTGAGTTCGATCCGTGTCTAGGAGTTTGTAACTTAAAAATTAAAAATAATAAGGGACTCGAGGAGGATACTCCTGAATCCCCCAAATTTCTATGGGGGTTCCAGGCCGAGGAACCCTATCACGTCGGTGAATTTCGTTGTCAGACCTGAGGGCCTCTGCTTCTCTGTGATTTGCGTGAAGGAGACTTGAAAGGCTCGAGGTTCAAACCTCAATATACTTTCATGACGCAATGAGAGGAAGAAATGTACCAATTACTCTTCTTATGGTGACGAAATGTTCATAAAATGACGGAGAAACAAAGGAAAACAGACCAGCTCCATCGAGGCCGACCATGAGAATCCTGACGTTCCTCTTCCCTGACAGGGACTCCAGGAACTTCTCCAACAAGGTGCTCAAGTACATTCCCATCCCGATCGCACTTGAGGGTTTAAAAAGTCGCAGAGAGAAGAGAACCGACCCGAAACTGAAGTCCCAACCACCTCCTCCCCCCTTATATGCATCCTCGCCCCAGCTGACGTGGCCGGCGCCACGTGGAGGGTGCCACGTGGCTCCCCCCACGTGGAGTGTACGAGGTTGCTAGGCGACAAGGGCTGATTCATGGCCGTGATGAAACTCCGAGCGAGGTGAGGTGTCTTCTTTCATGCATTCGTCTGTATCGGGAATCGATCATTAGCGCATGTCGTGCGTCATCGTCGCGGATGTCAATAGAATCGATGCACTCGTCGTCGTGATGCCATACCGGCCGATGACGATGAACGGGTTCATTGAATATTCGTCTGCTAGAACTTCATTCGAGGTCAGTCGTGAAGTGAGAACGATTGACTTTGGAATCGATGCTTCCAATTGCTGTAGACTCTTTGAGTCTGCCAAAATTTGGCTGTCGTGTCATTTTCCTGTAGAAATTCGTCAAAAGTAGATTTGACCATGGCAGCTCAAAGCCGCTGAGTTTTGTTTGCAAGCAAAGCACTGTCAATGTTTGGTCCGACCACGGTTGGTTTTCAACTTTCCCTCGAATATCTCTCCATTTTTATATCACGCGTCCGTGTATTCACGCTTGTGGAGCATCAGCCCATAATATGATATCTCGTCTTGTTTGTGCTTCTGACCTTTTTTTCGACTCAAAAGTAGAGACATACCATGGAGTCAGGGCCGGATTAAGAAATTGCGAGGCCTAGGGTAAGTAGATTCCTGGGATTCCCTCCCCCCCCCCCCCTTAATCTGGCTTTGCATGGGCCTTCCAGACTTACTGGCTGATGCTCTGAAGGATCGGAAGCTGTTTCCGAATCCAAGGAAGGTCACTTTCCAGCAGGATGGGGCTCCAGGCCACATTTCTGGCCGGAACCTGCAGCTGCCGAGGAAGTTCAGATCGTCTGGTCCGAAGGAACCTGGCCCCGTGCATCATCAGACTTTTCACCGATAGAGCACGCACGGGCCACACTACGAGATTCCGTCCTCGAAGCTCCACCCCCCCCCCAGATTTAGACAAGATTTGGTGACTTGACTCGCCGAGAAGTGGAATTCGTTCCCACTGGCTACGATGGAAAACCTCATGGAATCTTTCCCTAGGAGGATCGAGGTTGCAGCTGCTGTTGGTGGTCGAACGACCGATTACTGATGCATCAATTACTGAAACAAGTACGACCAGATTCTGTTTTGCTTCCTAAGTTTCTTAAGAATTACGTGAGGAAAGCGTAGCTAGTCAAAAATATATAGAGACTTTTGCGCCACCCTGTCGGAACCTGGAAAATGTGTCGACCATTCACATTACTGCTGACATCCGTTAGAAACCGTCCAAGTCCAAGCCGAGATGATCACGTGTCCCAATCGGAGGCAAGAGTGAAGTACGAGCGTCATCAGACAGACAACGAGCCTTGGCATGCATCGTGCATCACGTGACCGGTCTCCACCAATCATCATCGACGAAAGGCGGCAGGCTGCCGTCCGCATCCGTCATCCACAGACTCGCCTCACACCACCGCCAGGTCCCGGCGGAGGAGGGTCGCTTGGGAGGCAGACTCGCATCGTCTTTGGCAGCAGTGATTAGCAAGTCGCTCCGGCCGAGAGGAGGCTTGCTCCTCTCCTGGAGGATTTTCCTATGGGAAAAGCTTCAGTTCCTTGTATTTGTTTAAAAGTTATCGTACCGGAAGGCCCGAATCCTTCGTCGTTGAAGGTTGAAGGACCGGCACCATCAATATGGATCGAGCCGATGCTTTATTTTTTAAAAAATTACATCGAATGGGATTCACAATGGAAATTTGCTATTCGAATGCAGCGACTCGATTCGAAACAGCAGGAAGGTAATCTGAAAATGCCGAAATCGATCCGAATCGACGACAGAAGTCTTTTCCGCATTCCGTGCGTGCATTTGCACAGGATTAACGACTGTGTGACGCGGTGCGGAAAAAAAAAATCGATGCAGTTTCAGACTGAACCCTTGTCTACGACAGTGGCGTAGCGAGGAGGGGGTTTGGGGGGAGGGGCTTCAGCCCCCCCAAGTTTGGTTCGAGCCCCCTCAACTCTGGTCGTCCACCCCCACCCCGACGAGGAGAAGTAAGCCCCCCCATTGACGAAAACCTGGCTACGCCACTGGTCTACGAGAAGATGCAATGCATAGATACAACGTGCCACTTGCTCGAGAAAAATCTTGGCGAAGTAAAAAATTGGTTAGGTCGAAGGGGTAACGAGTTGAACCACTCCTATCCCCCTTTAGTTGGGGCTTTGGGCTTGGTTTTATCTTATTCGCATGAAAATCTGCTTTGAGTAGTTTCTCATGAATTGCTAGAGCGATCTGGCAATAATTTAATTAAATTTGTTTCTGCAGAAAGCATGGGAATGGCGCTACCAATCTCCCTCGATGAGCTTTTGCGACGCGCATTTCCCACGCCGAAAGAGGCATGGGAACCGATGGGAACCCCGTTCCCCCTCGTTCGCACATTCATCACAGGTTGTCCACGAGGAAGACGGATCCTCTCCGGTTACATTTGTCTTTCTCGGTAAGGGATCGGCCCTTTTCCGCGTCTCGATTCCTGTTCTACTTCCGCGTGCCGTTCTACTTTCCCATTCTACTTCGCGTCCTCGCAGGCCATTCGGGGAACTGCGTTCGATACGGTTCGCAGTTCTGGCAGCACTGGAAAAGGATGTCCACCTTCAGGAAGTCCTCGTGACTCACTCATCCACTGATTTGGTTATCAGTCGAGCAGATGTGGAGGACTCCGTGTTCCGTTGGAAAGAGTTGGGGATGGATATCCGTTTAGGCCTACGTAGGAACGCGCTGCATGAAATTTTGCCGATTCTGCACTTCACCGCCACATCATCTGGTGCCTTGTGCATTCGACTGGCTAAGGTTTGCCAGTTACATTTAAAAAAAAAAACACGTTTTGTTTTTGCCCTACTAGCCTAGACGTAACGCTAGTCTAACTATCTTTTTCCCCGCTGATATCCTGCAGTAACGTTAGCCGCTTGATTGAAGGTTGAACTACTTCGAAGTCACAATGAAGCCAATTGTCCCACTCCAAGACTGCATTTGGGATTCGCCAAAGTTCAGGTAGGTCTAGGTGAAGCCTTGACTCTCAGTGATACGGTAAACCAAGGCCTATATCCATAGATGTGTAGCTTAACAACAGGCTGACTTCATGAGGCTGTAGGCCTCAAGGAAAGAAATAGAAAATGTTAGATCTATTGCAGGCTCCACCCCTTTTTTCATGGTAAAAAAAATATTGATTTTTCCTGTCCTTCAGGGCTGTTTTGGAAGAGAATGGGACCAATGTTGAATCCCTTGAGACAAGATTGGAGAAGGTGAGCCTTTATTTTCTATTTTCTCATACTAATGGGTACAATTAATTTAAGGTGTGTTGCTTTTTTTTTGTTTTAGAATGTAGCAACTTGTTTTGCTGAGGGACAATCACGACTGAAGTGTTCGTTCAAAACATATTCTCATTTTGGAAGGTGTGAATTTGAATTTAGAATCATGAGACTTGCCAGTATTGAATTGGACATGATCTCTAAAGGCTTTGGCCAAAGGTATTAAGTTGACTAGCATACTTAATGCATTTCTGCAAAAGCAATTTTTTACCCACTTGAAATCTCCGAAGCACCTTTTGGACAAATCCTCCCTTCTGAAAAGGGACAGGTCTGAGTCGTGACCAGGGCTGCAATCATACATTTTTGATGATATCTAGGCCTGAACTTCTTCACTGTTTTTTAAAATGCAAAATTGATTTATATGTCCACTAGTAGGCCTACCTTCATGTCAGTATTTATATGTTGTATTCATGCCATCCTAATTATGAGTCTCTTCAGAAAAACACTAATATGATTCACTGAAATTCTAGAATGAAATACAACTTGCTTTGATTGAAGTGATAGTAAAAATCTTTTATAATAGGTTTTTCAACATCAACTCATGGTAATGTTGAATGGTAACTGGTGTGAGTGAACTCTTGTTCCGATTCTCAGAAACCACCCTGGTATTGCCTCAGTAACCATGCTATCCTGTTAACCATAGTGCTTGATGTCAGACTAGATGTGAAGTATTTTGAACTTTTCTGTTGCAGCTGATCAAGCTTACTAATCAGATGGTCGATGCTGGGAAGATGTATGTATCTCAACAAAGGTCAGTTGGCCTCAAGTTCCCTCTGAGAATGGAAGTACAGAATGGGATTTCCTCATTGCTTCTTGTGGCTCTACTTGCATGAAAAGATTATGGTGTTGATGATTGGGTACTAATGCAGAGTTTAACTTTTGTCTTTTTACTGCCTTCAGGTTTACTTTAAATTTTGAAATTATATTTTGGAATTTCATTTCTGCATTTTCCACAGCATGAATGATGTGTTTCAGTTCACTTAGCATGGATTGATAGGCAGTATCTTAAATTAGTGTCAAAGGAATCCCTTAAGACCGCATACACAATCATGACTTAGGTTTGGATGTTTGCATAACAAGAAGGATTCAGAAATTTAAATAAATATTTTATGTTGTATTTAAAATTCTTTTACAGGTCTTTCATCAAAGGTCTTTGGGATCTGAGCGCCTTCTTCACAGGTGATTCCGAAGCTGTGGGTGTCATCAGCAAGCTCTCTCGAGACCTCCACGAAATTGTGAATTTTCAGACAATACTTCTGGACCAGGCATCCCGGTGCATCTCGACCGAACTCACCTCGTTCCTTAAAACGTGTGTTGAATCAACTAAATCTACAAATTTGTCTTGGAAAAATTTGTCCAGTTCTGATGAAGTTGGATCATGCAGTCAGGTCAAGCCAATGAAGGAGATGAAGAACTACTTCGAGAAGTTCTCGGGTGAGCTGGACACGGTGTTGCAGAAGAATTCCCAGGCGCCCCGAAACAAGCTGTCTGAATGTGAGGAGACCAAGGACATGCTTCGGGCAACCCGGAGCGGATTCATGCATGCCAGCTTGGAGTACGTCCAGCAGTTGAGCCTGCTTCAGGCTGCCAAACGCCATGAAATCATCTCCTGTGTAAGAGAAAGCCATTTGTGGAATTGAATATTCTTGCTCTGCTTGTCTACCCCACTGTAATTTATGAAATTGAAAAGCTTTTTTCTCTCAAAGGTAGAGTGGATTTTGTGTGGCATTATAAGTTCCTTGCAGAAAGGCATTATGACTTTCTCAAAGAAAGAGGTTGCATATGCTTTTTTGGATTGTCTCTCTCCACAATGTGAAAATCCAGACCAATGAGACTCACATGCTCTGTCTGATGTTGGGTGTAGCACAGCAAACATGATCTGTAGTATAGTGAGTATGAGCATTAATTTTTGCCTCACCCTGATTTCCTTTGGCTTGAAAAAATAATGTGTGCTACCTGAGAGTGGCATGTTGAACTGAAAGCATCTAATTCATTTATAATTAAGTGTGTTCATACATAGAAAATTCACAATAAGGTGGAGAAGAGGATTGGGAATGATAATTGCTTGAGCTTGGTAATCCTAGTTTGACTGAAAAAGAGATTCTAGATGAGTTATCTGGGCTTTGAGTTTGTGATTGGACAATATCAGCTGTAGCCTTTTATCTCCACAGGCTGTGAAAGTGAACGCAACAAGAGTTTTCAATTTTATTTGTCAAGATAAGGTTGCTTATTTTTGTTTACCTGAGTACTTCCGCATATATATAGATTAAAGTCTGTGTGAGTCAGACATGACTCATCACTTATTGTGTCTGTGCTTTTCTCCATGGACTAGATGTTGCATTCAGAAAGAAACTGTTATGAGGAGCAGTCACTTTGGTACATTAATGAATGTGAAAATTAAACTATATCTCCAAGAGCCAGGTAACTGGAACCCAATGTTTAAGGAAATATCTGACAAATGCAAGACATCAAAGTGCACTGGTGGGCCTGATGGTAGTAAAGAATGTTTGCCTTTAATTTAGCAGGCTTACTCAATGATGAACTCTAGATATCTAAGCAAGCAAGTATACTTGAAGTGTTGGTTGATGCTTGGGTAAAGATGAACAGTTGGTGAATCTGGATGCTCTACTGTTTTTCTCAGATCCTCTCATATGCGAAGGGGTACGTGACTTTTTTCAACCAAGGAGCTGACATCACAACTGACCTTGATCCCTATTTGAAATCTCTTAGTAAACAGGTCAGAATGTTCTCACATTCATATTTTTCATATTGTCATTAATGTGATTGTTTTTAAGAGGCTTTGGCGTTTGGCATTGTATGTCAGGTCATCTAATATCAGCATACTTTGTTGCCTCCATGTTACATTTGACTGAAACTCTGTACAGAACAAGTGTTCTGTTCACCAACATGAAATCCTACACCATTTCTTGCTCTCACCTCTACATCACACCAATGAATGACCTTGGAATGGTTTTACTGAATGACCTAGTTTTCCTAGTTGTCTTAGATTATCCAGTGTGGGCTCATTTTATGGCTCCTCTTTATCTCTGTTCATGTAACCACTCTTCATAGAAAAAAAGAAAGGCATGACTTTTTATTTTTTCATTTATTGAAAAATGTATGAAGTTTGAATAGTGAAAGTTTCATAATGTCATGCCTGTTATTTAGACTGAAAATAAAATATCAGGATACTTTTTTTTTTTAAACCAAATTATCTCTCCTTTACTAATGCAATCTAAGGCAAAAGTTAAAGAAACTGAGACTTACACACAGTCAACTATTATCTGGGACCATTGCTTTCCTTTGATCTTTCTTGGTTTCCTTCTACTCTTTCTACCTCCCTCTTTTTTTTTATTTTCTGCCAGTTTAATAATGCTATTGGTACCTCAATGGAGCTCTGCTATCCCTGTCTATGTTCTTGGATCCTTCAGGATGTGGATTTTTTCCTCATAGCTATCAACTTCTCAGCTCGTCATCACTAATGAAAGGGTCCCTTTCATTGGACTGGAATCTTCAGCTTTTGCTCTCCCTGTGCCTATGACTTAATCCAGTTACTGTTTCTTGGTAACTGGGATCTCATTCAGCATTCACTCTTCGTGTTGTACTTGACGACTGACTGATGATTACAGTGGCTTGTGGACTACTGTTACAGTGGCTTGTGGACTACTGTTACAGTGGACTGACTGACTACTACTACAGAGTGACTGACACCATGTGCCTTCCTGCACACGGTGACATGGTGACTGGGTAACACAACACAAGAGCCTCTTCACAGCCCTTTTTGTGGATTTTGCAAGGGTCTGGGTACTTGAAGTAATTCAATATTTATATACAGGGTGTAATAAAATCAGGAATCATATGGAAATAACATGGGGATCCTTTCCAGACAAGATTGTCAGAAAAAAAAAGTTAATCAGTTGATTCTGAAACTCTTTAGTTCCCTTAATCTCAAAGTCTGGTCCAAGTGGCCCAGAGTGATACTGAGTGACCCCAAAGTAGCCCAATTTGGGTCTTATTATCAAAGGTGGTACAGTTTTGCAAAAATTGAAACAATTGCAAAATTTTACCAGGAGTGGTACAGAGTGACCCATGATGACCCATTGCAACCCTTGGTGATTTACCCTGAATCTCTCATTTTCATAATTGACCTGGAGTTGACCAAAAGAGATCCAAGAGGTGACCTGTCATGACCCAACTCTAGAGTCCAATATATACAGGGTGTTAAGAAAGTTGTGTCCCATCGCAATATGCCTATAACCTCAGCAAAAATTTAAAAATCAGGACATTTTTAAAATACACAATAACAAGGACAGTTAACTGATTTAGAATCATTTAATAGTTTTAAATATAGCTGCCCTTGGCATGGATGACAAGGTTCAGACCACCCATGACTGATTTTTGCAAGATTTCCTATGGAATTTGCTCAGATTCTCGATTCAGGGATATCTTGAGAGAATCCAAAGAATAGTGCTTTGTAGCACACACTTTGCTCTCCAAGATGGACTAAATTGAAAAATTTAGGGTGTTCACATTGGGGGAGTAAGGGGGCCATTGTGAAGTCGAAATGAAGTCGGGGACATTTGTTCACTGTCACTCCTGGGTCATCCGCGCCTTGTGAGCTGGCCCTGAGTCCTGCTGGAAGACCCAGCTGCCTTCATCGAAATATTTCGTGGCCCACAGAACCAGGCAGTCTTCCAAGATGTTTTTCCATTATACATCAGTGTTGACCATCTTAGGCTCGAAAGCGAGCGGAGTACAGTAATCCCGGGTCAGATCATTGCAGAAGCTGCCCCTTGATGCCGAGTGGCTTGAAAAAAAATCAGATTTAGATTTTTCAATTTGGTCCATCTTGGAGAGCAAAGTGTGAGCTACAAAACGCCATTCTTTGGATTCTCGCAAGCTATCCCTGAACCAAGAATGGGGGGAGAATTCCACAGGAAGACTTGTGAAAATCAGTTGATGCTTTCATGGGTCATCTGAACCTTGTCATTTGTGTTATATTGAAAACTATTAAGTGATTCTAAATCAGTTAACTGTCCTCTTTGTTGTGTATAAAAAAATTTCCTGATTTTTAAATTTTTGCTGAGGTTATAGGCATATTGCAATGGGACACCCTGTCCCATTCTTTCTTAACACCCTGTGTATATATATTGTACTCAATTTTTAGCACACTCTTCGCTGCATCATTTGAGACTCATACAAAGATTAATCTGGTAGTGTTTTGAGCTGCATTAACAATAATGAAGTATTTTTTTAAATGGGATTTGATGAATTTGAATTATTGTTAATTTTTTATTATGACTTTTTGACATTACTATTTTTTCTATCAAGGGTGTTTATGTGGGTATGAACTTGAAAGTGAAACCAGTAGGTAGAACTGATTGAAAACCTTCTCATGAGAGTCAAATTGCCAACCTTTGTCAGGGTTTTTGTTCATGTCAATCAGAATTGGAAATTATTTAAGATATTGAGTATTTTAGTCAGAGACTCCAAATTGATTAGCAAAGTCTATTTGGGTCCTGTGGATGGTTTGACACAGAATTACCAATTTTTCAGGATGGATTATAAACTAATTTGAAGTTTTTATGAATAGTTTTTAGCTGTCTTATAAGTTTTCAGCTTCCACAATCAATATTTCTTTCATTACTATTATGAAATATTCAGTCATATGAAGGCTAAAAAGGGAAAAGGGCATTTTTCAAAAAATGTCAGTGATCTGATGCTATATTTCATTCAGAGACTGGACAAAAAGAAAAGAAATTCTAAGAGAAGCTTTTGACAGTTTCCTAAGATACTGATATGCCATATCATGTGAGTCAAGTCAGCTCTTGTTACACCCAATCCAAATGCCACTTATCTGTTTCTCTCCTTGAAGAGGAAATGAACTGTCCCAGCAGAGTCCTTTAGGTGCCTTGTTTGAAAATTCTTTCATTAATACAGACAGACTCTTCAGTCTGCTGTATCATATTCTCCCTCTTAATCTTGGCTAGGAATTCAAGGGTAAGAGATGGTACAGAACTGCCTCTGAGAGGAAAAAGAATTGTGTGTCTCTCTGTTATTCCAGTCTTTTGAATGAAAAGGAAGTGCTTCCATTCTCCTTCCCTCTTCTCCACAGGGATGAGAGGAGAATCTCCTCCTCAGCCTCCTTTCCCTTGAAATCACAGTGGAGCAGAATCTTATCTCTAAGATTGCCACTCATGCTGTAAAAATTTATGCATGCATTCATATGTGGCCCTCTGTCAGAAATCAGTTGTGTCTGGAATGCAATTCTGGAATGGAAAACAGAGCTTTTATTTTTATATGTGTGCTTTAATTAATACATATGTATATTTTTAATTATATTTAATTTATATTTAAATTTTGCTAGGAATGACAGGGATACATTCTTCTGTCTCTGAAACATTATGGCGAAATCAGAGCTGAGTGATTTGTACCTTGCTCAGATTTTGACAAAATTTGGCAGGTTTGTTCTACTCTTGAAAATATAAGGAGATCCCAGCTCTTTGACCTACTTAAGCATGTAACCATTGGGAGTTGAATTTCAAGGTCATTCAGCAATGATCAGCTTTTCTAGAATTGTTTTCAATTCTCCAAACACAAGATCCAATAAGTTTTATGTTATTACTTAATGTGCTCCAGGTTTGAGACTCTTTGCTTTGAATCTATGTATTCAGATCAGATGAAGTGAAAAGGCTGGCCATTCTTAACTTTCACATGTATTCCATGTATCTTGACCTTTTAAATAATTCTGACTGTCATCCTTATAACTCCTATAGTATTCCTTTTCCTTCTTTGAATGATCAGTAAAATGTTGCTGGATCTTTGCCTCAAGTTGTTACATTGGGAAGTGTAGACAGTTAGCTAAAGTCCCATTCTTAACACTGTAGTTCTAATCAGCTACAGGAAAGTTAGCTAATGTGGCATTGTGCACATGCTAGCTATACCACAGCAAATATCTTTTGTTGATACCATATACTTCCAGGTTTCAGATGTTTTCCTTGAGTGGTTGTGCAATTATCTGATATGAGCATTGTGATTCAGCCAAAGAATGGCTGCCACATTAGCTTGTACATTTAGTTCAGGCACTGGTGTTGGACTCTGTTGTTTTTTGCATATTACTTTATCATTTTGTGCATCTATATTGTCTGTCTTCAGGCCCAGTATGCCAAGTTCTATAACAAAGAATAGCTAAAGGTGGTATGCAAGTAGTAGCACAGGTTAAGAATATGTAAATAATAAATAAAAATGGTTTTATTAAAGATGACCTATTAACTGCCTTTTCTCTCCACCCTGAGTCACTGCCAAGTCATTTATCACTGCTGATTCAGTAAGTTAATTTCTTTGCAAATAAACTTTATAGAATAACAATTATATGGGGTTACTTCTGACTGATCTGAACGCCAAAGCAAGCCAATGCATCTGAAAAAATGAAATAACGAGGAAATTTTGTAATGCACAGAATGGAATGTTTCTCCAGGGTGTGGAAAGAGAAATATGGGGTCAGCCTAGGAGGTTTAAAGTAATCCTGGTAATTGTTAGTGCTTTCCGAATAGTTTCTCCCTCTGAGTTTCAGTTTAATAATTGCATCGGGTTTTGCATCAGTAACAGACTGCATAGAACTCTGCATCAGAAAATCTTCATATAATGGACAGACTTTTTCATGTACAAGTGCAAAGAAACAGAAGTGTCATTTAAATTCGGTTTTATCTTGAATTGATAACATGGATGATCCTGTTTTGACACCAATGTGACATCTCATTTCTCTCCTGATGAGCAACAACTTATCTGTGTGACTCAACAATTCCATTGCACCCTCCATTTAGCCTCTGATAACAGACAGTGGAGTTGCGATCTTGTTATCTACAGGGGTCTGTGTTCCTCCTGCACCTGTAGCAGTCCCATTTCAGAATTCCATTTATGATGCGGACTTTCTGGAAGCGCAGGAATAGCTGCAGCTTCTCCACAGCGAAGAACCATAGAAGACAAGTGTCTCTTTGGTTCATTAGTGACCCTGGGATCAATGTGACATCCCATGGGCATACATCTATGAACTTGGCCTCATTCCAATGGAATGAACAAAATGCCCCTGGTCACTCAATCCAGGTTCTTGGATGGAAGGAGGATCAAGGAGACCTGAGGCGGATCCTGGAAAACCAGCACCAGGTGGCCAATGACCCTTCAGCAACCTTCACCCTCTACCAGGATGAAGAGGACAAGTCAATCATTGCCAGTTACCTTTTCAAGAAACCCTCAAGAAACACATTCCGCAAGTGGAATCGGCGGTGGTTCATCCTCCGGAACTCCCAGCTTGTCTACATGAAGCGTACAGGTAGGACATTTGTTTTGGCGTGGATCTATATATCCTTTGCAACCCTTTACATCCTATACTAGCTATAGTTGCACCTTCGGCGATCCATTGTCCAGGATAATCATTCATTTGTTCTTTTATTTTTGAAGGGGCAAAAACATGTGCCTGTTGAAATGTGTGCCATGAGAGGAGGAATTGATATTTTCATTGAAGTAATTATTCCAATTATTTCTTGTATACCTAACTTAAAATTCCATTATAATCTGTCCTGAGGGGATGAATATGAAAGTAGAATCTGCACTCAGCAATTGAGCAAGTACTTCTGCTCCAAGTTTTAACTTTCTTCAGTTCTCTCTTTCATTGGATCAAAAGAGATTTGGGAAAATGCACTTTTTGCAAAAAAATGTGGCAGCAAGTTTTTTTTACCTGAAAAATAATAATTTTACTGTACTCTGAGAACTATATGCCTACCAAGTTTCAGTCGTATCTGATTGCCCTTTTTGTGGTTCAAAAAAAATATTTGGAAAAACCAGTCTAGCCAAAAGCTGTGCCCTGAGGGGATGCATCCCAAAAGTAGAGTTTCCTTCTGAACTCAACATCACCTCAGTTACGCATGGGCCAAGTTTCACCTTTCTACTTCTGCCCAATTCGCTAGGACAAAAAAAGTGTTTGTGAATGTCACCCCCAAAAATGTGCCACCAATGCATGCATCTGAAACTTGACATTTTTCCTGCACTCAGTGTCTCAATGAGGACATTCATACCAAGTTGCAGCTTTCCATGTCTTTCCATTTGACTGAAGTGCAATTATCTCTTTGAAAATATCTCCCCCCTAAATTTATGCCCCCAGGGCATGTACCTCTGTTTTTTTTCTGAACTCTAAATCCTGATATGTACTTGTGTATCAAGTTTCAGATTTCTAACTTCTCTAGAACTTGGTTGGAATTAGCATCAGTCAGTCACTCACTGATTCAGTCATGAACACATATCATGATGATATGTGTTAGGTAAAAGAAAGGGGGGGAGGGAAAAAATAAGAAATCAAGGAAAGAAGTGTGGTTCATCAGTGGCTGACATTGGCCAGTTGACATAGTCTGACCAGCAGAAGTCCCATTAAACTGGATTTCATGTTATACAAAAATTATCTACAGAGTGGTACAATAAAAAGGAAGTCCGTACTTTTATACATCTCATATACCAATTTCAACCTTTGCATCCCCAAAGTATTTCATTCTCCTGTCAGAGCATTCAATGGGAAGCTGCTGGTGCTAATCATGAGTTTTTACTCCAATCATACAATCTTCTGTTAGCCAATGTCCCACGGATGCCAAAGCGGCACTGTTTCAGCTGTGTGCAGTCTTGACTGCACCTGGTGCTGTTGAAAATCACTGTGTAACATATGCTATTTATTAAGAAATCAGTAAGAGTAGAGCTATTTCACTTTCTTATCTGTTTTCTTTCTAAATGCTTCTGGTTAACTGTATTTTGTGTTAGCCATGCCTCTATGCAGTGAAGCATTTCTGTGAAAATTCACTCATCAGTGAACCAGATGCATCACACATCTGGTTCACTTGATGTGCAATCACACACATCAAGGACAACTGCCAAGTTCCAGCAAGACAAGGTGGCTTGCTATTTGGTCACCCAACAATCCTAATGTAAACCGAGTTGACTAATTTGTATGAGGTGGGTTGCAGGAAAACGTCTAACAGAACTAAGTCTGGAACATTCAAGATTTGAAAGAAGCAATTATCTATTCTTAGCTAGCCTTGCCGTTCTGCATGTTGCACCACACAATTGGATAGTAGTGCACTCTATTACAGGCCATCATCGACTAGAAAGGATGACATATCGAATTTCTGTTTTGAAGCAATAGAGAGATATCGTTTTCATTCTAAAAACATTTTTGTTTCATAGATGCCACCACAGCTGTGCTTTATAATGACACATAAAGGAAAGGGCTTCCTTTTAACTGCACCACCCTGTAGACTGCTGAGGTGATGTACTTGTTGTAGACTCCAGGCTATCATAAGCTTGATTATTTAAAATATTCCAGGTTATTAGCTCACTGAAGGTCTGGGGTGAGAAAGCAATGACTTCAACCTGTGTTAAGCTGGATCTAAACATGTATTGTCAGTTTTGAGCCCAAACTTGCACACCTTTATTTTGTTGTTTCTTACATGAAATAGTTCATTATATCATAACTAGATGGCTTCACATCAACCCCTTGATTTTATTTTATTGAATTAATTTAAAAGTTTGCATTAAAAAAATGAAAGCATTTGAATGAGTTAAATGCAGAGCATGTGATTCAGACATCTTTCAAGGGGCACTTTCCATGCATAGGTGTCTAGTCAAGTGACAAATGCTGCACTAGACCCAGAGCAGTTGTTGCTTGCTCCAAGTGTGCAAAGATTCTGGCCATTGGTGGACACTCAATGCCCCCAGATGTACTGAGCTCTCATGCCACTGGAAGCATCCTGCTACTATGTTATTTTGAGTTTCTTCATGATTAGATTATGAATGTACTGTACTGTAGAAATTTTAATACCTTTGGAATTTGCAGGTGAACCAACTGCAACTGTGATGGAGGAGGATCTAAAGTTGTGCACAGTAAAGCCAGCTGCTGATGCAGATAGACGCTATTGCTTTGAAATCCATTCTCCTATGAGGTTAGTTGCATTGCTATTGTGGTATCAACTATTGGTTCTTTGCCTGCTTTTCATATAGATTCTTGAATTCATTTGAAGGATCCATTGAGAATTTCCATCATCTTGAACTCAAACTCAGCAAGTCATTTTTTCGCATCAGATACTTGTACCATGTCTTTTCTGTCCATCTAAGTACCTTCATTCATCATCTGCTAATTATGTTGTAAACTGCAGTCATATATTTATTTGCATACATTATGTTGTCATGTATCCAGAATTATTGATGAATCTGAACATGATGGTACCTTGCCTATGTGTTGGGTTGAGTATGCCTAAGGTTTTCTTATGTCATATTTTACAAGTCAGAACTAAAATGAGATATCCATGGAAAGAGTCAAAATGCTAATGGCATACTCCCTTCCTCTAGATCTCCGTTGATCGTCTATTTAAGTTTAATGACAGAGCTAGTCTGGTATCTGTTCATTTTGAAAGCAGGTAGACTCATTTCACCACTGGTTGACCAATATCAAAAAATTATCTAATATAATTTTTAATGATCACTGGTAAAGTAATGCAGCAAACAAGGAAGAAGTGCTACAAAAATGTTGGAAACAATTTCAGTGTGTTGCTCAGTAGAGAAGGACACTGCCATCTGGCTCCACTATATGACATTGTATTGATGAGTAGGTTTTAGTAAGATGAAACTAAAGGTAAACTTCACTTTCAAATGCTCTGTTGCCCCAGTTCCCATGTCCTGCAAGCAGACTCAGAAGAGATGTACAACGCATGGGTGACGGCATTGCAGACGGCCATCAACGAAGCCCTTCACTCCTCATTCCAAGGGACAGGTGATGATGGTTTGGGTGGAACCCAGGCACAGGACAGCCCAGGGACATTGTCATCGTCCTCCATTTCCTTCAGAGAGAATGTCACCTCACGTGGAATGCCAGGGAAATCTCCTGCACGGGGTGCCAAGTCCATGTTAGTCAATGGAATGGTCTTGCTGATGCAGTGCATTCAGATTGTTGGCTGATACACTGCATTTGGATTGACCATACTCTTTTTCCTATCAACATCATGCATTTCTGAATTTCGGTGTACAGATTAAAGAGGTTTTTCTATGAAATTTCCATCTCAGATGCATGAACTCATTTTGGAAAAGTATATTGTGGATCTGAAAATGCCTGGAAATTATCTGAATGCACTGTGTGAAATATAGGATTTCTGTTGTTTCATAGTTGATTGAACTATATTGACTTTTTACATCAGATCTAAAAGATGCAGACTATTTTTTTTTTTTTTTACAGGGGTGTACCACAGTTGATGAGAGTACCAGGAAATGAGCTCTGTGCAGACTGTCGAACACCAGATCCCAAGTGGGCAAGCATAAACATTGGAGTCACCCTTTGCATTGGTGAGCAATGCACTATATTGCCTAACTTGTGCTTAACCATGCATTTGCCTCAAAATTTTTAGTTTCAGCTCAGCCAACCTTTCTTGAATTAGTGCAGATCTGCACTTACCCCTTCACAATTGTATGAAGTTGTTAACTACTGATGTCTGGTAATTGTGAATACAGTACCAGTTGAGAAAAAAACAAATGTTAGTATGGGCACTCCATTGTGGATTTTTTATTATTCTTAAAAGAGTAAAGCATGCAACTAAGTATCTCCATGAAACACTTATGGTTCTTCTCTTTTTTTCATATTTTGGTTTTTTTCTTCCTATTTATATATTTTGCAATGATGACTTCCCTGGCAATCTCCATAGAATGTTCAGGGATTCACCGGAGCTTGGGAGTGCACCACAGCAAGGTGCGATCACTCTTCCTTGATGCATGGGAGCCAGAGGTAGTGAAGGTGTTCGGGGAGCTGGGAAACACCATAGTGAACCGTGTCTACGAGGCCTGTGTCGATGAGACCATTGCATCTCGTCCAACAGCCAACTCTGACAGGTCTGTGTTTCATTGTCTCAATTTTTAAGAAAAACAAGCAAGGATAAAAACCCTCTGAACTCTCCCTGGGTGAGGATGTTTAGGTGTGTTCTACTTGAGTTTCATTCAGATGTGGGCAAAAATACAAGGGACTGTTCAAAAGTATTGTCGCTAATTTTTTTAAAGCGAAATGTGTTATTTAAAAAGCTGAAAATTACATGGTATATTCATGTCCTTCCTACATTCAATGCATTTTTTCAACATGATCTCCATTACTATATACACATTTATGCTACTAATATTAAAAGGTACCAAAACCAGTGCTGGAAAAAGTCTTGCTGGTGAGACAAAAGCTACTGATGAACACCATATTTCATAGCTTCATAATTTAGACAATGTCTTCCAGGGAAAGCCTTCATTGAACCAAAGCGATGAAAATCATAGAGTTAATTAGGGCTACAGGGTGGATCAGTCAGTGTCAGCCTGACTGTTTCTGATTGCATCAATCATGGGCACATGTTGTATTGCATTATCATGTTGCAATGTTGCATTTTTATTGTTGTTTTTTATTTTTTTTTCTAGAGCAGGAAGGTTTGAAGTATGTGTCATGAAGTTTTCAATTCTCACAGCTGTATGTACTTAATGAAGGAAAAACACAATGACTTTGCATTTGAAAACCCACCTCATCCATATGTGTAAGTACATGAACTGAATTTTCTGCAAGAATCCAGAAATGATCCCTAGTTGTTGTAAGGCATCCAGTTGTTGGTTTCTTATACCGGGTCCGCCCAAAGTTCTGGAACAGCAATATTCTTTTTCTTTTGTGTGGTTGTAGGAGTGAAGGAAAAATGTTCCAACAACTTCTTTAGTTTGTTTACTCTGTTGGCTCCGCAAAAAACAAAATATTGGATTTCTCCTTCTGGAAATGGAGGCCAAGAGACAGGCAGTTCTGCAGCTGCACAATGCTGGTAAGCGTCCCAGCGAGATTGTGAAGGAACTTCGGGGCCTCGCCATCGACAGGAAATTTGTCTGGACGACGCTGAAACGGTTCAGTGAGACAGGCTCAACTGCTGACCGTCCGAGGAGTGGTCGTCCGAGGTCCAAACGTACCCCTGAGGCCATCAGGTCCATTAGAGACAAGATTCGTTGGAATCCACAGAGGAGCATGACTCAGATGGCCAAGGAGTCCGGCATGGGTGCTACGACAATGAGGAAATTAGTCCAATACGACCTCAAGATGCGGCCCTACACCCTCCAGAAACGACAGGTCTTGTCTGAGAACACAAAGGCCAAGAGGCTTGCCTGTGCCAAGGAAATGTTAAAAAAGGTGAACTGAAGGACATTCTCTTCACAGATGAGAAGATGTTCACCGTCCAACGCATCCACAACAGACACAATGACAGGGTTTTGGCCAAGGACATCAAACAGGTCCCCACAGAACTGAAAACAGCTTTCCAGAGGCAACATCCGGCATCTGTCATGGTCTGGGCTGGCATCACTGCCTCCGGCAAGACACCCCTCGTGTTCGTCCCCCCTGGAGTCAAGGTCAATAAAGATTTCTACATCAAACACATCCTGGAGGATGTGGTCACCCCCTGGGCCAAGAAGAAAAATTTGGCAAAAAGCCCTGGACCTTCATGCAAGATGGTGCCCCAGCACACACTGCCAAGGCTACTCAGGATTGGCTGAAAAAGCAAGATTTTGGATTTCTGAGCAAGGAGGAGTGGCCCCGATCTGAACCCCATAGACTTTTCTGTGTGGACCTACTTGGAGACCAAGGCCAGTAGCATCAACCACCCGAATCTGGACTCCCTCAAGTCGGCCCTGACCAAGGAGTGGGCCAAAATGCCTATGGATTATGTGTTCACCTCAGCCAACGCCTTCAAAGGATGTCTCCAGCGTGTCATCAAGGCTGGTGGAGGCCATTTTGAATAATTTTTTGTCCACATGTACTCTGATATGTAATAACCATCTATGAAAAATTTGAACTTGATTCCTCTAATACTTCCTGAGTAAATCCAAATTTGTCATGTTCCAGAACTTTGGGCTGACCCGGTAGTTGTAAACATGCCTTTCCCAAGCTATGGCAGACAGTTTATAATCACTAGTCAGTCATTGTGTTTCACCTTAAGTTTTCTTCATGGCTCTGGGTATCATGAGTCCTTCAGCAGACTGCAATATCAAAAAAATTCTAGAGTATTCTTGGTCTGGTTTCTGGCAGAGGGACTCGTGAGGCATGGATCAAGGCCAAATATGTAGAGAAGGCATTTGTATCCCGTACCATCCTGGAGAGCCCCCGTGTAACCCCGAGTCCTGATGCGGGTGAGAGACCCCCATCTGCTCCACCGAGACGCTGGAGCGTGAAGAAGTCACGGCAGATCCGTCGCCCGCGGTCTGGGGAGCGTGGTATGACAGCATTACGGGCCAGAGGATCTCGATCTCTTGATCTTGGCCGGCACCCCTTGCCCGATCTCTGCCTCGAGGTGCAAGCCACTGTCAATTCAGTATATGTAAGACTTATTTTATGCTGTACCTAGCTTCTTTCTCAAAGGACTTGTGCTAAACTGCTCCAAAATTTATTTATTTATTTATTCATTCATTCATTTCATTCATCATTCATTCATCGCTTACTTATTACTTACTTATTACTTACTTATTACTTACTTATTACTTATTACTTACTTACTTATTACTTATTAGAACAGAAGCTGAGGGGAGGAAGGGCTTCTTCACCTGATTTCCTCAAGCTCTGAGACCTAAGAACTCTAAGAAAGGCACATTTGAAAATGTCTGCATTCTCAGTATACATTACATTGTACATTGTGGGTCAGATTTCTTGAAAAACTTGAGCTAATTGCAGAGTGTAACCATGGTCATGAGCTGTCACAATCCATTATTGATGTCAGTATCGAATAGTTGAAGACTTTGATGACTTTTAATTTATCTACAGATAATTGTGCATAGATTTCCTGATTCCTTCCATAGGTAATGTCTTGCTTCCTCTCATTCAATTATCTCAGTTCCTTCCACAAAGCTCTTTTCAGCAGTCCTATCTCTTTTCTTTGCTTCATTCTTTTTCCAACCTTGATTCTCCCCTGGAAATAGAACCGTTGATCCTGTTTCCAAGAAAGCGAAGCTGTCTTTCATCATATGAGTGAATTATGGTTATCTACTCCAAGTCTAATGTGTGAATCCTTCCATGGTTAATAACTAGTCCTTTTTAAATCTGAATGCAAACATCACCCTGTGGCTTCACATCCCACCATGGCAATTTTACAGCATGTCTGTATTCTTTAGACCTCATGATACATAAAAGCGTGAATTGAGAAATAAAGGAGTAGTGGATGTGCTAAGTCACATTTTCATCAAAATGAAACTATTGCTATGGGTCATAATATCTGCCATCCTTCAAATGAACTTGAAACTTTTCTCCATAAAAAAAAATACAACTGTCATCGTAGTTTGCCATGATAGCTTCATACTATCATTTTCCTGAAAACAGAAGATGCTTAGATCTATTTTGCCTTGGGTTCTTCAGATAACTTGTCATTAAAAATTCCAATTCCAATCACCAGTCCTACTGGGAGATTAGTAGATCAACCATTCGTCCTTGTTGTGACAGGCTCGATCCTCAGAGGATGTCTTCGGGGAAGGTGGGGAGAAGAAGGCAGAGGTAGGCAAAGGTGAGGAGATCATTGTGATAGGAGAAGAGATTCCAGAGGGTCATCCCATTGCCCTGGACTCTGAAGACTGCTCCACTGAGGGTGAAGATGACTCCCCTGTTGTTGGTATGTACTCCAAACCATTTGCTTTCCTTGGGACACAAATGATGGATTAAGAAACATTTGGCACAGCATTCAAGACATTCCCTTTGCTCAACTTAAGGGCATCAAACCAATGTCCAGTTTATTTGCAAGCTTTCAGGTTACATTCCTTACTTCTTTTTTTTTTGCTATTTCCATTAGACACTTAAGACTTGATATTATTGTGATAGCAATGACTGGACTTATATTTCAAGAAGGGTGACAAAGTGGAAATATAACCACCTTGACCCTGAGCTCAAGCTGAGTGTGATTTTATTAAATATTACTTTGTTGGTTTGAAGTGACGTGATGGAAATGATTTGAAGAGGAGATTTGTGATACATGACACAAGTTTGCCAAGGAAATTAAGATAGAGAAAGGGACACCAAGGTGCAATAGCAAACTTTTCCAGTTTCTTTCAGTCCAAAGACATCATGCTTTTGAAGGTTTCCTTGAGTCATTGCAGTCCAAGAGCATTGAATCTGCAATTTTCCTTTTTAGCACCCATCATTTTGGTATGGGAGGCCGAATGCATAAACTGTCATCCCTCCCTCCCTTACATATAGTTGTAGTTGAATTTTGTTATAATGTAGTTGATGAAGCCTCCAGAAGTACTTCATTTTATTTGGATTGCATTATATTGGAAGAGTCTCACATGATTTGATTTCACATTTTATGACCTTGCTTTCATGGTTTAATCCCTCAAGTGGATTGCAGAGGCTCTTGGGCTTCTGGGACGCTGCAAAGAAGATGTCATGTGTTATGCTTTACTATCTGTAACTCATGAAACATTCATGTCTTTCTAATTGAGGCTAATGGGTTTCCATCTCATAACATTCAATTTGGACACTGCTGTAATCTTTGAGCAGCCAGATTTTGGGTCAGTAATATGGGATGTGCCTCCCCTCCCACTCCAAATTTCCCTTTATATCAATTTTCAGCAAATCCTGTCCCTCAGTGTTCTAATGAGTCTCACCACACAAATTTAGAACTCCCAGGTTTCAGATGGAGAAGGAAAGATGGTTCCCATCATTAGAGACTCCCAATTTCTCTTTAGTAAGAATTTTCCCTGAGTTCTGTCGAATGGCATTCTAAAGAGACACAATGTTCAAATTTCAAATAGTCACACCTTCACAGTCACAGGACATCTATCAGTAATAGAGGATGCAATCCACCCCATAACCTTCAAGTGAGGTATGTTCAGATTTTGAATGCCCAGGTATTGGATGAATAGAGTAATGGATTTTGAGCTCTGCACAGCAAATCAAGGTTCTGGTTGGGTGCAGATACTTCATCAGAGACCTCACGTTCTGAAGCTTAAGATGCCTAAGCAGGCTGCAGGCTGGCCCGATGCAATCTGCTGGTTGGACCTTTGAAGCTCAGTCAGCTATTGTGATTTGGGTCATTTGCAGGCCTTGATGCAAATTGAGCTGATTGGGTTGGATTCAGAGAAGTTAGCCAGTGCAGGCCCCTGGTAGACGAGATAGGTGGATAGATGTCAGCTACCATTATGTGGAACATGTCATTTAAAGGCATATTAGTATTCAATATGTTAGGGCACCCTGTCAAATCAAGTAAAAAGAAATTCAAGGGGTAATATTGGGGACAGGAGTTGAGATCCTTCACTAAATATCAAGTAGTATTGCATAATCACTCCAGTGCTCTCTTCCACTCCCATTCACCCAAGTTCACATCCTCTGCTACATGCACACTCACTCACATTCCCCTTATGACCCATATTCTATTTACCTTTACTTTCTTTCCCTTCCCTTTCCTTATTTTGTTTTCTTTCCTCTGCAACTTTGTAATAAAAAAAAGTAAAATTATTGAAAACACTAAGTCTATCATTTCAGAAACATAATTTGTCATTTTTTCATGATATCCATATTTTTGAACAGAGATGCCTATGGAAATTTACTTCTGTCTAGCTTTTTTGGCATGACTACATCCATATTCATTATAAGATTCCATCATACCTTTCCACTTGGTGAGGGAGGCATTCTGCTCTTTCCTTCACTGCCTATGCAGAAATTATGCAGTTTGTGGAGGATAGTAACTGAGTTAAAGTGAAATGTCAATGTTACTGATAAAATTCTCTCAGCAAGTTTCAGGTGCAATGTGTGTATTGTGATTAATAACTAATGCCTCTCTCTTAAATGAAAAGTTCCTGCAAAGAATTACTTTTCCTTTAGTAATGAACTGACTATCTTTCCCCCTCCCCACTAATTGGCCTTTTCTGTATGGTTCCAGCATCCAGGATATTCCAGAGAGCTGTAATAAGACCAAGTGCATCTTCAGCTGATAGTAACACAGAAGAAAAACTGAGTGTGTGCCATACAGCATTGGCAGCTTGCCTTCTTGACTTCATTCTTTGCTTATGCCTTGTAAAATTAGTGCAACTGAAGCTAGGGTTAGATAACTAAAGATAGTAGTTGTAGGAGTTACCAATTAATATATGTAAATTGGAGTAAATATAATTTTCCTATCTTACCTTTCTCAAAGTACCTTTTTTAACCCCTTTCTGCATAGTGTCAAGTATAATAAAACAAATCATCAAATTGGTGCTATATACATGATGTTCACTATTTTGACAAAGTGCATAATGTGTCATATTACATGTATGAAGCTCCCAACCCACCTGTAACATGCAACCATCTGTTCTCCAAAACACTGCCCTGCTGCAAATAATATTAGACATATAATTTTTTCATTGCAAGAGAAAAATTCATGTGATACACAATTAAGTAACTTCTTTTTTAGATTATTTAAATGAAGAAGGGCAAGGTATTAACTCAATACCTACATCCAGCACAGTAAATGGAGAATGTAACAGCAACCTGTCATGATACTGTAAGTAGTGAGGATAAGCTACTTCCTAAAAGGAACTAGTTACAATTAGCCAGCAAAAACCTAAGACAAAATAGGACTTTGCCTTCATTGGGTACAGTTTATTTTAGTGCAGTTCTGCCAGGAATGGTTGCTAGAGGAAGTGATGGAGACGACATTCCAACCCAAAGAAGGCAGAAAATGAGATGAATGTCCTCTAAAGTGATCTTTCTTGCTTCAAAGCAATGATGTTGCTGTTGGCAAAGAGAATAGTGTTGATGAGACTATCTCCATGGCACAGGGTGAGTCCAATGCAGAAGTTGCATGCCCCCTTGCACTTCCCCATCACATTTGGGCCCTACCACGAGTTGGCCTGCCCCAAATGCCCCATCTGCATTTCTTATCCATGGATGGGATCTCCAGTGTCTTGAAGGGCTGATCAGACAATGCTTCCATTGCTTCTACCTCGGTTGCTAGATGGTCATCTGTGGGGGGGATGACTGTTTTGGGATCTGCTAAAGAAGATATTCCAGATATAGTCAATCACCTTGATTAGATTCTTAGAAATTTGACTGCCTTGGTGCCCACCTTGATTCACCCATGCATGTGCATTATGCACCAGCACATACATTTCAACTCTGCTTGCAGGATGCACCTTCATCTTGAGAACCATTGGGGAATGTTCTGTTCAACCAGTTCCCTTTTTACTAGTGATTGTACACTAGTGCACACTGCTGACTTGCCAATCACCCAAATGCCTTCCTTGATTTGTGAAATGTACTTTGAGGAATCCTGCAAATTTGAATCCACTTTGAAGAAGAGAGCATAAGCAACCATAAACTTTTCATTATTATTAACCCTGCTCTTTTGCAACACATCTTGCTGGATGTTGTTGCTTCTGTTGCTTGTAAACAAATATGATTGTTATAATCCTACATACCACTACTCTTTTAATTTCAGCTTATTAAGTGGGGGGAGTGGGAGTCATTAAGGGAAACAAGTCTCAGTCACAAAATTTCTGACTTGAAGACTAAAAGATCCATTTTTGTTATTTGTGTTTGTTCTTGTTTCTTTGTTCCATATTTTGTGAAGGAGGAGAAGATATGAGCAAGCTGGATGCAAACCATCTCCTGTTCCGAGCAGCAAAGGCGCACAACTTGCCCGTGATGTGCCAGGCACTGGCACTCAGTGCTGACAAGGATTGGTGCAATCACGAGGACAGGAATCTCACTCCATTGCATATGGCAGTCCTCAGTGTATGTCCCTCTTTTTTATTTTCTAATAGGCTTCTCTGCTTTTGTTTAACTTGGGAGGGGAGGAATGATCACCTGAAATTGCTTCATGGGGTTATGATTTACATGAATTGTACCCTATTTTTTATTCTTGATCACAATTGAGATATGCTTGGGGATAGTAGTCTTTAGATTTTATCTATGCATCCTCAAAATGATTATACTGTCCTAACTTTGGAATGGACTAGAAGAAAGTGGCTTCTATTGGTATTATGTCATTGGCTCATGTCAGAGGAAGTATGTCTTAAGCATGCCTGAGATAGTCTAGAGCTCTGTTCCATTTTCTCTTTTCCTTTCATTCCCTAACCTTTCTCACTTTTGATTCATTTCAGGCCACTCAAAAGCAGGTCTATTTTGGACTATTTTTTTAACAATTACAGGGCCATGCAAAAGTTCCTGTACACTTTGAAAATGTAATTTTTTCACTAATCGTAGGATTTTTGGCAATTCTGATGGGCTTTTTTTTATAATTCTATGGATATTTTTGATGCAAAATGTTTTCATTATAATAAATTTCAGTCTTTATTTGAATAAAGCCTCTGGAGCCATGACGCTTAAAGAGAATCGAAGTGCTAATCAAGTGTACGGGAACTTTTGCACAACCCTGTAGTTTCAAGCCAGTGGTGATCCTCGCCTTTTTCTTTTTTGTTTTCCATTTTTTTCATTTGTTGTTTTACCTTGGAATGGGCTATTTGAAAGAAAAAATGAAAAAGCAATTGCTTGAATGTAATGCATGGCAATTGTGTTTTCCAGGGTTCCACCATGGCATGTGAGTACCTCCTGCTAAATGGGGCCAAGTGTAACGTACAGGATGCAGATGGCAAGACTCCCCTGCATCTCGCGGTTGAACGAGGTACATGCTTGCTCCCTTGCTGAAGGCTGTTAGTGGATTTTGCTCTGCAGTATCTTTTTTTGTGGGTAGGTTACCTGCTGCAGGTGTGTCTTCTGCTCCAACGCCACCGTGCCGAATCCACCATCACCGACAACCAAGGACTCAAGCCCATCGACATTGCCATCAAGTCTGAGGATGGAGACATTGTCACTGTGTGAGTTCCATTACATCCTCTGTACTCTCTTTACTCTCTTCTAAGTTTTTGTGTTCAGTGGTATCTGCATCCTGATCCTGGTGTAAGGGACAATATGTCATGGAGGAAAAATTGCCTAAGAGAACAAAATTTGCCATCAGCGTGAAAGTGTCAGTTTTTTATGTATTTATTCCATCAGATACATTGTTAAAGCTTCTGTCCCACTTGAAAGTGTCTTGTTTTTATTTAAATTTTTTTATCCATTAGTAAGATTGAAGCTTATTTTAAGTCATGAAGATGATGGTGGCACCCTATGAACAGGATGCCACATTCAGATAATTATATCATAAATAGTGAAGGTTGGATTTGTCCTTCAGAGGAAAGCAGTTGAGAAGGCAAGGAATTTGAGGGTATTACTTTTTTTTCTTGGCCAGCTTGAGGATGGCTGCACTGGATGCCCAGATGCGCTCAGAAGCAGACTATGTGGGTGAGGACACACTGGAGGTATTTGTGCGAGACTTCACCGAGCGAGCATCCACCGATCCGAAGCGGATGTCCAAGCTCAAGCTCACGAAGACCCCCGAGCAGCATCTGCCTCGTCCGTGATACGATACTTTCCGTTGTGATGGGGGCCAGTATGACTGTGTGGCCTTTTCTTGCCAAAGCTTCCCACTGCAGCACTCATCAGCAGCATGGGTATTCCCATACGTTTGGATCTGATTTCACCGTCAGATGAAAGCTGTTTTTCCTGCTTCGTTTTCTGCACATACAGGTGTAATCTTGCGGTGTTATATGGTTGTCTGTTATTCATATATTATTGGAGAGATTTCTCAAGATAAAATATTGTATAGATGTTGCTTCTTGACTTTGTTTCCAAGTATATCTGCCCACATGGAAAAAAATATTGGGTTGTTTAAATGCTGCATGAGACGAAACATGATATTGTTATCAATTTTATGCTCTGCAAGTTCAAGGAACTACTTGTACAGGAAATGGTAAAAGCACTAGTGCAGACTGTGGAGTTTGCATATGCAAAATCCAAGGTCTGTAGAAATAGGTCAATCTACTCCAACTGTGCTACCATGGTGGAGAGTGCTAAGGACACAGACAGTGACCAGATGTCACTCAAATTGCTTTTTGGGTGATGCTTGCCACCATTCCCAATGCATGGACATGCATTTCACTCTTGCAGTTTTTTTTCTTCTACTTTTTAACATGACACTGCTTCTTCAGTTTGGCAGTATTCTAAGAATCAGAATCACACAAATGTGTTTTCGTGGTCATTGCTTAAGCTTTCCATATGTACAGGGTGGGTAGAAAGTAACTCCCTATTATCTGCCCTATAGGGTTATAAGGCAGACAAACTAAGTGTAATGATGTGGGTAGTGTACTAAGCCACTTCACCCAAACATATGGTTCAGCAATTCAGGATGTAAGGTGTGTAATACAGGCTATTGAATGGAGTGTATCAATATTTCATATCTTATATACCCCAACGAGAATCCCATGGTCCATGGATATTTAGTTGAGCATGAAGGACATAATGAGAGCTATGAGTTCTAAGCCATGCCACATGCATTCCAGCAGCATGCCATGCAAGAGGAAGAGGATGCTGTGTATCAGATGGGATATGTGGAGAAACCTTTTCCTTAGTGGAAAAGGTGAGGGGAAGCTATTGGCTCTGAACTTCTGGAGTGGTGTTCTGCAAATGCATACACCAGAAACCCAACCAGCTAGTCAGAGACATATGTCTAACTGGAAAAGAAATTAGGAAGGCAAAAGATCCATTTGCCTCCTTACTCACACCTAAGTCTAAGTGAAAAGAGGGAGGGGACATTTACCACCTCTGCCCTCTCTTAACCTATGTAAGAGGGGCCACACAGAAGGACTTGCAATCTGTATCCTGATAGCTTTTGCCAAAATCTGCCTAGGTAGGTGACAACTCCAGTCGAGCAAAACAACTCTCAGCAGGCATCAAAGGTTCCCAAGGAATGAGGAAAAGGCCAAAGAATCAAGGAACTGGAAATTATTCCAAGTATGTACCATTCTTCTACAGTACATGTAGCAGACCAACAAGTGAAACCAAGAGACATCTAGCAGCTGCTCATGTCCCAAGGTACAAATGCTGGAAAAGTTGCTTGACTTCTACATCTAAAAAACCTTGCTTTTAACAACCATGAAAGTATTAGGTTGTTCCGAAATAAATGTCCGATTTTCGAAGTGTAATGTTTTGTCTATCATTATACCTGTCAATTTTGCGATAACCAGTTATTGTTATATACCGTTTTTTTTCAGCAAACCTTTCTCTATGTAAGCCCCTTCGTTGCTTTTTATTTATCTTTAGCCTAACGTTCCTGTAGCTGCCAAANATGGTGCTTACTTCGATTAAAAATGTTCATTATCAGCTGAGTTACGACCCTTCAAAGTTTGCGATCGAATTCGGACATTTATTTTGGAACAGCCTAATACATTGAAGTACATGGTATTGCTGTATTCACAAGGGAGGCCTTGAAAATGATTTAAAAGCACCTGGTGAGTAAGTTTGGCTAGACTGATGGAAGATGGAGAGGTGGAACAAGCGCATGAAACTTCTGAATCCATATTACATTTTTGAGAGGAAGGGATGGCAAAAGTGCCATCTAGTAGTAATCTGAAGGACTAATTATCTCCATAGGACCATCTAGTGGCAATATGGAAGACTAATGGTGTCTATAGGGCCATCTAGTAGCCAGAAGGTTAACTATTGGGTCCCATAACCCCCCTCTTGCAACCATAAGTGAAACTATTTCTGTATAGCCAATTAGTGTCAATAGGGAAAGCTACATTTGTTGCCTTTTCTAGCAGAAAATGGCAAACCAGCCATGTCCATCAGTACCATCTAGCCATACAACTGACTAGGTAGTGACACCTTCTGGAAATATGCCTGTGGCAGCCACCCGAGAAGAAATGACTGTGACAGCACTAAGATCTAGTGCTGGGAGAGTATATTTGCAGCGCCTGGCTACATTCGGGTTCGATGCAAACCTTTCTAATATATCTGTCCAGTGCATGCTCATCTAAGTTTCAATCGCATGTTTGCTTGGCCCTGTACGACAGGTAGAAAAAAGTCTAACTTAGTGAGAAAAACAAGTAGACACTTCTCTCAGTCCTGATTAGAAGGAAAACATACCAGGCAACAGCAGGACAGGTTGGAGGACAAAAGCATTAACTCCTCTCCCAGCAACTATTAAATTTAAAAAATCACAAAAGCAATATTATTAGTATGAATAGCAGCAGCCTTAACATCAATAGCTTCTGCAACCATTGAGTCTCACTGCCCAAAAATTATGGAACCGGAGAAAAGCTCCTGGAATACTGAACTGAGAGAAACAGGCCAGAATTCAACAGTCCACATGCCTTCTGCACAGAGAGATGATCCATGATAGAAACTGTCACCACAGACTGCAAAAAAAAGTTAAATCTCTTTCTTACTTTTGAGTGAAGCAACTAATCAGAGATGAGAAATCAGAAGTAGAATATAAGATGAGCAAAAAAACTCAAAAGTTACATGGTATCACAATACACAGCACCCAAAGGACTTTGTGGCCTCAAGGTATGACGTGAGCCAATGAGCAGACTAAAAAATTATCATGGATAAAAAGCTGTAAATTCATATCTGTTGGAATCTTAGCATCAACTCAATCTTGGCACTCTTTTTCTAGTACAAGAGTCAAGATTTTTTCCTATTTTTCCAACACTGAAAAATGGAAGCAAGCCATCAACTCTTCCCTAGAATTGTGATTATATGAGGATGGAGCATATCACAAGACTGAGGAAGAAAAAATCCAACAGGCTTTGAAGAGCCTGTTGGATTTTTTCTTGGCTGGTTGACATTACTGTCTCAAGATATCACTTGACTCCTCTGAACCTGTACAGCCACCATGAAGGGTGAATAAAGTGAAATTAGTGCACTAAATGAAATGTTGCTTTTATATTTTGACTGGGAATCATGTTCACTTGTGAGAGAGATGGTGGAACACATGTAAAGGCAATCCTCAGTATGGTATTGTGCTCTTGGAAAGGAAAAATGAGAAACGCTGTCCTTTTCTGTAAAGATAAAGGTACACACCAACAAACGAGAAAGGCAAGTAACGTTCCAGGACCACACGATTGCATTCATGCATGAGAGAATGGATTGTGAGGGAATTTAGAGCCATCCCAAGTAACAATTGACGTTCCAGCAATGGTTCAAGGAATGTAGATGATTGATGTTGTTTCAATATGTTCAAGACATCAACTCAAAGGGTGGAAATGGTGCAAAAGAACATTGCACTGATGTTGCAGATCATTTATATATGCAATACATATTTTTTGCAGCAACATTCCAAAGCTGTTCCACTCAAGTTGCTGCAGTGTTGATTGCTTCATTATGTAAATGTCCACAGTAAAAAAAAAAATTTTTGAACAACACATACCCAGAAATCCATGCAACAGTATAGCATAACACTAGGCTTTAGTCAGGCCAGCCTGTCACAAAAACATAGACTAAAATAAACCAAAAGCATCACAGAGCCAAGACTGCAAATTCCAAGTCAGTTTCTCACATTCATTCTGCTAGGAAAAATTTGAATCAATCCATTTGGATTCTTCTACTATATCTTTCCTTGTTCTTGGCTGCAGCTAATTACCACGTAGTAAGATTATCTATGGTGGCTCTAGAAGCAAATTCCTCGCAAGATGAAAATGATGCATGATGAAGAGGAAAACTGAAGCCTGCCAGTCAAATCAAGAGGAGAGTGTAGATCTATTTCCAGAACTTCTTGAAAGTATCTTCCTTCTCTTCCACCATGCCACAAAACACTCTTATTGATTTGCTGTGCATGACAAGACATGCATCAAATCTCACCAGAGAAGAGTTAAAATGCAGCATGACTGTAGCAGCCAAGGTCAGAAATGCCAACAGCAAATCATGCAAAAAGAATTGATGAATCGAGAAAAATCTCATGACACGGGATGAATACGGACCCGTCTGACATAACCGAGGCGGGTGACCTTGGAGTGCCTTTCAGGAAGACCTCAACATCAATGCCACGACTTTCAAGCAGATGGTGAATTTTCACGAGAAACACAAGGGCACTTTTTTCAAGGATGGTTGTAATATCTACTCCTAGGGATTTGATCTTCAGTGGCAAAAAATGTAAATATCCAGTCTCCTAGACTGTTCCATTTACAAAGAAATGATAAAAATTGGGAAAGCTCCAAACATGATAACATACATTCCTAACAATAGTAAACCTTTGGAAAAAGACAAGAGATGATGAGATCTTCCCAAAACCTGGTACAATGATAAGTCGTACAGGGCTCCCATCACGACATGCTTCAATCACAGAATTCCCAGAAGAAACAGATGGCCAGTCCACTGGAAGAACTTCTGAGATCTTCTAGTTTAAATTTAGTCTCACAAGAACTCAAAAAAGAGAGCAATTCAATTCAGAATGATTCAATTCATATTTTCAGTGGTTTTCACTTTAGGGACAACATATCTTGGTGCACAACTTGAGTGCTTTATTTTTTCCTTTGTTAGGAAGAGTAACTTTCCCTTGTATCCCTTATTTATTTATTTATTTAAAGAAAATGTACTTCCCACAAGTATTTTTTCTCATAAGTCTGTGGAAGGACTGAGGCTCTGTGGTCTCCTACAGGGGAATCCACATCATCGTCAGTGAACTCTGCCAAAATACAAAAACAATAAACAAATCAACACTGAAGTCTTGCTGACGAGTTGCACCTTTGCCCCATTATGACTGACAAAATAATCAAGCAAGACAGGAAAATAAACTTCAGTCCCACACTTGCTAACTGCAAAACTCCATCATATTGCAAAATGAAAAACAGACAACAGATAGTTCTCAGTGCCATCTAGTTATTTCAACAATGCATAGAATAAAAGTTGCTTCTGGAATTAGCTTCTAATATGGTCTGCCTGCATGGAGAGGTGGGCTTTCCAGATGGTGCAATGAAAAAAAAACATTACATTACCAGTAACATTTTCCAAATGTTTAATGAAATAATAACACAGCAAATGTTAAAAGTACAAGGGGAAACTACAGAGCTGCTTGAACTTTAAACAACCATAAAATACAAGCTCATGAATAATGCTGTATTACCCAGTGGGGAGAACAGAGTGCTGAGTGAAGTCTCTCTCACACTTTAATGCTCTCTCTTGTGCCTGTTTATGTCAAAGCATCTGTAGAATACGTCCGACTAGGCTGAAAAACGGTGAGAATGAAAAAAGCATGGAACTCATGAATCCACTTCTACTTCATACTCCGAAGAGTGCCAGCAATTCATCAACACCATCTAACAGCAAAACAGGGAAGCTACTGCACCCATGCACTCTCCAGTGGAGATCAGCAAACTATTTCCTACTATTTCTAACTACTATTTCCACAGTGCCATGTAGCGGTAAGAGGGCGCACTTTTATGTTTACAATGTCTAATGGAGGAAAATTTCTAGCAGTGCCACATAGAAGTTGGCTGACTTCAATAGTGCAACTTAGAACAAAAAAAGGCAACAACCTCAAAAGTAGTAGCACTGAAATGTGGCAAAGTTTCAGTTCTTACCTGGTTGCATTCAAGTTTGAAACAAACCCTTCCAATGATCAGATTTCAATCACATATTTGCTTGATCCTGTCTGAGAGGCAGAAAAAAGTAGACAAAAAAATCATGGTGAGAAAAACAAGCTGACACTTCTCTTTATTCCTGACTAGACGAAAAAAGTACCAGGCAGTTGCTGATTGGCCAAAAAAGAAATACAAATAATAGGGTGGGGCAAAAGCATGTACTTCCTCTCGCAGCATTTATAGAAAACAAAAAAACAGCCATCACGTAAGCATATAATTAGTAGCAATAGTAGCAGCCGTGGAACGCTTTTGCAATCAATGAGTCCATCAAGTCCTATTTCCAACTACAATGGAACCTAGAAATGAATCCTGGACATAAAATACTGAACAGAGAGAAAGAGGCTGGAATTTCATAGTCCACATGCTTTCTGCATAAACTTTCTGTAAAATGATCCATGATAGAGACTGTCATCACAGATTTCATGCAAAAAGAATGATCAATCTCTTTGCCATTTTGGAGCGAAACAATGAACCAGATGAAAGAGATTGAGAGATCAGAAGTCAAATATAAAAAGAAGAGTTGAAATGCAATAATTTCATGGCTTTGCAGTCACCCAAGGAGTTTATGCCATGGAGGCAGCACACTGCAAGGCTATGAAATGGCAGCATAAACTGCAGTTTCCAAAGGAGTTTACGGCTTCCAAGTGTGATATGAACTGATACAAGGGGGCAGATTTGTAAAAATTCTCATGAACCCAAAGCTCACTCAATCCAGGTATATCTGAATTTTCATCTCTGCTCTTTCTTAATCTCATACCTCTTGTACATGTCCAGTATGAAGACAAAAGCAAGCCATAAACTCTCTTCTTCACAGCTGTGAGAGGATGGAACAGGATGGAAATAAGAAATCTGATTGCATAAGTATCATAGCAAATGTATGAAGAACAGTTCACAAGACCAAGAAAAAAAAGTAGAGAAATTCAACAGACTTTGAAAGACCTGTAGTCATTACAGCTTCTAGAGATCACAAACTCAGATGCAGATGAAAGTGGAAAAGACAGAAAGCAACAAAATGGGGAACAAAAAGAAGAGTCCAGGAGACTTGGGAAGAGGTTGAGAACAGAAACAGACCTCTTTCTACTATCAAGACACAAAAATTTGCATAACTGTGCCTACAACATGTCCATCTTATTTATTGAGGACTACATACACAGTGACTCCTCTCAACATTGAACAGCACTGTCTCTATCCTATCACAGGCAGTGATTCACAAATCAAACTTGCCTACCTAACCCAATTATTCAATTGAAGGCACCATCTCCCATACAGCATCCAGGAAGAGCGAATGAAGTGAAATATGCAACCAAAATGAAATCTTGCTTTTTTTTTTATTTTGACTGGAATCACAGGCGATCGTGAGAGAGATGGCGGAAACATGTTAAGGCAATCTTTAGTATGGCTTTGTACTCTTGGAAAGGAAAAACAAGGGATGAATGGTGTGATCTTTTCTGTGAGAACAAAGGTACACATACATATCATGTAATCAGGAAGGAAAATAAATAAGTGCAGGACCACACAATAGTATCGATATATGAGAGAATGGATTGCAAATCAATCTAGAGCTACAGAATCAGTTTCAACTAAGGGAACAAGAATGTTCAATTGTAGGAGGGTGGGGGGGGGGGGAAAGATAGAAGAGAATCATGTGCCTAGGTTGCACTAGACTACAAGTATCGGTACTTGCGGAGACAGTCGTTGCCGAGGTCGACGACGATGGCCGTGTGGTTGTCAAGGAGAGCAAGGCCACTGGGACGGCGCAGCTTTGCTGCAGGAGAATCCATCGTGAAGGAGAGCTTTCCCGTCTGGTAGTCGGAGACATAGATGGACGTCTTGGTCTTTTCGGTGCGTGTGGCTAGCAGGATCTCCTTCTCACAGTCCACTGCAAGCCCACCAAAGTTCCCTTTCCCTGCAAAGGGGATTCCTGACACTGATAGAACACTGGGTGGCATAAAAATGCTTCAAGGACAGCAACTAGCAGCATCTAATTAAACTTGGGTGAAATCACAAGATCAGAATCACAGAATTTCCCAAACAAATCAGAAGACAAATGTTTACTGTCCCTGCACCTGTCTCATGCCTCCCATAACTACATTTTATAAGGGTTTCATATCACCAGGTCAACTTCAGATAAGACAACAGCTGCAATGGGATCAGTCTTTTGAGATTGGCCATTGCTTCAGTCAGTTATTTGTCAGCCTCTACAGACAAAAATTGAGCAAACTTTTTCTGCATGGACTAAATACATATCAGACAATGGGGGATGAAGCTTTCTTCATGAATAGATTAATAAACATTTTTGTATTACTCAAAACAAGCATCATACTGTCCTATGACAAATGGACTTAATCAGAAATTAGAGAGATCAGATTGGACTGAGAAAACTTGATCTAATCTCTGTCCAGCATTGAACACACTAATAGGCTCACTTTAAAGCTGTTGGATCCGATATGAATTCCCACTTCCTTTTCTTTATTGTTCTGAATCTGATCTGACTGGAGGCTTGTTGGCTATCCAGCAGTTACTTGGTGGCACACATTCATTAAACAAGAAATGGGAAATAGTACAATAAACTGTATATCAAGTTACTAAGCAAAGCATAGACATAATGTTTACCCTTTACAAAATTTGCATTTCATTTATTATCTATTGACCAGAAGCAAACCAACTATGAACATCTTCATAATATGCCTGTTTCCTCCTTTTATATTTTATTTCCTGTACGCATTGCATTTGGGCAACTCAATTAACCATATCATCTTTGATGATATACACTATACAAGACTAAGTCCAACTAACACTAAGTCAAATTAGAGAGAAAAGTGGAAGGCACTGCTGTGCATGACAAGAGTCTCTCCCTAACAATTTCAGTGAGCTTGCACCATGCTTGACTTTACTGGTTTTTTAACCTAAATCCCTGTCTTGGAATCCATGTTTGCTAGCAACTGAACCATCCTAAGTCTCCTGGGATTGAACATAAACACCCTCTGCCTCAAAGTATACCAGTAGAAATTCAAGAACTCAACCACCTCATCAGCCAAGAAGCCAAACTTGGTCGGATCTAATGTGAACCATAAATCATCCAAATCCAAACACATCTGGTTTATATGCACCCCAATAAGTTTAAGAGAGACAGAAAGATGGCATACCTCGTCCTTCAACCTGGATATCTCTCAAGAAGTCACCCTTGGCATCATATACATGAATGCGCGAATCAGCTGCAATGAGGATGTCATCGTTGGGACCCACTGCCACAGCAGAGAGGAACTTGAACTGGCCCTTCTTTCCAATGCGCTTCAAGAGCTTCCCATTCAGATCGAAGAGAAACACCATCCCTGCACCATTGTCAGCAACCAGGACCTGACCAAGGCTGTTCACAGCCAATGCAATCGGCTCCTCCATCACCTCATGCGTGAATTGGCCTATTTTGTTCCCTAAAGGAGACAGTTCTGTCACCATCTTTGAACGCCAATTCACGAGAACCAGGTTGTTATTGGGAGATAAGGCAATTCCAGTAGCACTTTTGCCCTCCAGTCCATCGCCTTCAATGTGTCCTATGAAGTTGAAATCCTCGCCAGAGAGCATCTTGATACGACAATTGCCCGTATCCAGGACGTAGACCACGTTCTGGCTGTCTGATGCAGCTGCAACTGGCTGCATGAACTGATTGCTGCCAGAACCACGTGACCCGTAACTCATCACTGGGTTGTGCTCTGAGCTCACCTCGACCACACATGGAGAATTTCGAATAGGACGGCCAAAGATGAGAACCTCTATCTGATGCCGTTCCGCCTTGTCCGGCTTGAAGACGACAGAGTACGTCCCGTCGTGTTCGTCGGTCAGCGTCGAAGGGACGTGTTGGCCGCACTCGGTCGTCACGCGTACGATCACCGGGTCGTTCCCGTTGCTTCGAGGCATCCCGTGGTAATCCACCGTCGTTATGATGGCCTTACACTCCAGGTGGACGGTGGATGCATCCACAGCAACTTTGCACAACGGAGGGAATGTGGTGGATGTGCGTGTGCTCCCATGGCATTCCACAGCTTCCCGGACAGCCTTCAACGTCTTCTCTGTATCCCCCTCAAAACAGAGGAAAGAGTTCTCATGGGGTTCCCCCAGTGGGGTCAGCGAGTCCAGTCGAGAAGTCAGGTCAGAAATCTTGTGGGTCATGTTTCGCACCTCTACTTGGTACTGGAGGCCCTCCATCTCAGATTCCACCTGAAAAAGGGACACCAACATACACCTGCTTTTTCTATTTCTAAACTGCAGTATTCATGCTGCAGTTTTCACAGTCCAAGCATGTGACAATAGGTACTACCAAGTGCCTAAAAGGGCATATTATATATTTTATTTAATATTAGATAACACAGCTGTCATGATTCCTGTGATTACCATCAAGTCAAAAACCTTCTTTTTCCTTCTGAAGGGGGGAGCAGACTTTTCATGAATAGATGAATAAAGAGAACACAAGTCATATTTTACTTCCATGTGCTTCTTCATTGAGCATCTATTCTCCAGCCTATACATTCAACCCTACCCTATCCAAGTGGAATATGAAGGAGTTTTGGACAAAGACTGGATCACTTATTCATTTTATTGCATTGTACAACATCAGAGCATGGGGAGCTCAATGTTTTGCAGGAAACCTAAAGCAATGTACTTATATTAAGTAGCAAGATATCTACCTATAAATGCCTCTTATGCGTTTATAGATAGGTAGAGATTTTGCTACTTGTTGATAACTAACAATAACAAAGAGCAGAAAAAAATTATTGCAACAAGCAGCCAAGATGATACAGCCAAATGAATACAAAAGAGCTGGCAAGTTTGAACTCACCCATTTTGCACTTTGATCCATCTCCAGAGAGGTAAGGAGAGAATAGAGGATAGAAAAAGAGGGAGAGGGAAGAAGGCATGCATAAATATAGCACAGCACAAGACTCATTCAGTTGCAACTTGAACTTGAACAGGTGAAATGAGTCAGCAAAAATGAAACATGGAAAAGAGTCATAGCAGTAATGATTCTCAGTTACATGCAAGATAAAACAAAACGAAATTCAGAAACCTATAGTTGAACCCCCACAGAGAAAATGTCATATTTTAACAATATTCTCAAGTACCTTTCTTTGTAAAACTTTCAAGTTGCTCAGGTTGAATTTAACGTGTTCTACTGCACCTGCAAAAATGCATAGCTGGAGTGTCCTCACCTTGGACTTTTCTGAGTTGATCACATCCAGTTGTTCCTGGAGGACTTTCCTCTTGGTCTGATGGACGGCATCCAAGTCGCGCAGGACGGTGGAGCGTCGCACCTCTATCACATCCAGCAGGGCCTGGAAAGACTGCTCCACAGCCTCTTTTGCCCTCTCCACATTCCTATCTAGTCGATTAATCTCCAAGCTTACACTCTCGTTTGCTTGGTTCAACTGAAAACATGAATATGAATCCATTTACCAACTCCATTTCCAGTTATAACCTACTGCAAAGTATTTCTTTCTCAAGAAAATTATATTTTAAGCTGTACTGCACTCTACCAATGCAAATTTAGCCAAGTGTTCTAAGAAATCAGTATGTATTGTGATATTTCCATACCAAATAGGCATTTCCTTTCTCTAACATGTAGCAAGTCTTCAAACATCTTCCATTCCTGAATTTAAATTTGTATTCTTTTGTTGCCTCTGTTCTTACTCAGGGTGTAAAGGCATAAACCTAAGACAAAATATGCCATCATTACCACTACTGACAGGCAGAAAGAAAAGGCAACACTGATCCACTTGAGGCAGGATGACCATGATCAATGGTGAAAGTTCCCAATGGGTCAAATGTACACACCTTGTTTATGCACTCCTTGGCTTTGTAGAGGAGGATCTCAGACATGCGTTTCATGGCGATGGAAAAGGGGATCACTGTGTGCTCCTCACAGGTCTCATCACTCATCCCTTGCGAGTGGCTCGACCCCATACAGTGCGGGCAGAATACCACATCACATGTCTCACAGAACAACAACTCCTGCAGGGAAGGAAAAAAAAGGGGATATGCATCATTGTTTAAACAGCAACAAAGACAATCAGATTAATCATGATATTTGACTGATCAAGTATTTTTTGCTTTTAAACTACTATGACTTCCATCCAAAAGCTGAATCTTGACCAAATCAAATATTTATGGGTGAAACATAACATCACTTTACTTCCTTGATATGGTGACTGGAGCACCAAGAACATTAGCATCTTTAAGAAAGGTGTCTCAGTTCAACATTGTTATACCCTTAAACTCACTACTTAAAGTTCCAGCCCACTTCAACCAATGGGAGAAACACAGAAATACATTCTTAGGTCACAGAGTAAGCTTTTTGGTGACACATTGTCCCATAATTGGATTGGACAAAGAATATGGATAAAATTTCACTCCAATTGAGATGCTTCATACTTGAACCAATAAGTTTAAACATAATCCAAAAACATGCCTTAAAACAAGGAAACAACACCAGCAAAGACAGCATTAACCTCTCTTAACTTCTCACCTCAGGGCATGCAAATAATTGGAGAATCCTCTAATGGTGAGTGATAGACAGTCATGTCTTGTAACGACTTAGCATAAGGTGGTTATAAGCTGCAAAAGACCATGAAAGTACTCTACATGCTCAAATTAAAGAAAAAGACAGGAGTGAAACCAATTGAAGGACATCCATTATGTATAATATAGGAGACATTCCATCCTATGTTTGGTGAACTACTTTGGCTGGAAGTGAAGCCTTCCAGGAATTGGAAGAAGAAAAACAGAAATTTCCAACTGGGTTCTAGGGTTTCCTGTTACCCTCACATGATTGTAAAGAATGACAGCTTCAACTAGATTTCAAGCAGCAGGCACCTTGATACTCAATACTCAAAAGATCGATTCAAGATACCTCAGTGGCATGAAGGGAGCACTTGGGCACTACCTCCCTCCTCTGCTGTGCCATGAGGTCTAGAAGTTGATTCACGAGGAAATTTGGCCGCAGGGCAGAAACTCCACCACGGGGCAGAGGGATGCTCTCTCGACAGATCGGGCAGCGGAAGCTCATCTGTCCGCTGGGATTATTGTTCCCACCGCCTGAAGGACATCTCGTACTCGATGCAACGATGGCTTCCACACATTGCTTGCAGATTGTGTGTGAACAAGGCAGAAGTTTTGGGGAGTGGTCTGCTCCATCGTAGGTACCTTCAATAAAGAAATTTTCTTTTCTCATGTCTGAAGAAAATATTATGTAAAGATATGTATAAAATCCAGGTCCTTCAGTAGTCCACAGACTGTACGTCTTAAAAAAAACCTTTTAAAGAAAACCACTCGAGAAACTCTGCCATTTCAAGGCATGCCTCTCAAAAAACAATGTCAATGACTCTGTACTAGTGATAGCATGCTACTTCTGTCTGGATCTCTGGTCCATATGAATTCTAATTTCTAGTCAACACAATTTAGTCAGCGGACTCACATAAGCATGTGCCACATGTGAGGAAGCTCTCATTGAAGTCATCATAGTTGATGGAGACAGTTTCCACCAATGTTGATGAAAGACTGACCATTTCATGAAGTTACTCTTGTAAATGGTCCTCAGCTCAAGTGGCAGGAGCAAATCAGATCTAATCCAACACCTGGAAGAAAAAGATTCCATTGCCAAAAGCAATATTCATACAGAGAGCCCAGTGAAGATTTCCATGGGACTGTACATGTATGAGACATCTTATAATGAAAAAGCAAACATCAATATACATATAAAACTATAAGGTGTGGGTTACATTCATTTCTGGATTGTGACATAATAAGGATATCTCAGGATAGCAAAGTGAGAATCATTTCTTGATGAGTATGTCTGGAAATGAAAGCTCATATTTCAAGATGCACAGAATGCATTCTGCATTACTAAGTGAAATGCATTAGTATTGATTGATTTGAAATCTGCCTCTTTAATTTCTAGGGCAAGCAAAATCAGGACAGGTCCGAATTGCCATATTATTGGGTTGCCCACATGCAAAAGTCAGGTGGTCAGGCAGAGCATTTGGAAACCAACTTCTAGGTTGCAACGTTCCAGAAACAGATGGGCTGAGAGAAAAAAATGCAACCACAGGTGCAACCACAGCTTTTACATTACCTAGGCAACTGACTTCAACTTATTCATGGTCTACTGCAAGGCCAAGGCCAACCTCTGGGGCTGGCTTGGTTGAAAAATAGGAAGTAATCACATGTAACAGGAATCACAAAAAAGGTACTCTATCCAGTAGAGATAGTATCCACTGGTTCCCAAAATGTAAGTCTTCAATGTAGATCACAAGTGGGGAAAAATATAAAACCCATAATGGAAGCGATTTCACCTCAAAATGACTAACTTGGCCAACACCAGCAAGTGCACATACCTAATTAGATGACACCAATTCTAGAATGACAGCAGCTGACACATATTACAGCTAGTAAAATGTCAGCTGCAATACGAGAGCAAAAGATTTTCAGCACCACATCCCCCCCCCCTTCAAACCTAATGATCTCCCTTCTCACTGCAGTGGACAGGTCACGTAAATTTTTAAAGATAACTGGGCTTCATCAATTAATAGAAGAGCACCACCAAGGATCACATTCATGTGTGCTCACCAAGTCTAGGTCTCCAATGATAGTAATTCCGAGATAGGCCTACTTAATCAAATCCATGGATAGCATTTACAATTGCAGTAACTGAAATCTTTTGAATTTAATGAAGTAAAATGAAGTTGTTTCATAGTCCTCTGCTGAAGAAAAGGCCTCATCGATTTTGAACATGATAGAGCTCAACAGGAACATCTATGTGCATGAAGCACGGATGAACAAGTACTACCGCAGCCTCAGTGAAAAACAGTAGGGAAGAGAGGGGTCTAAAAAGTGAGCTCTGTGGGACTTCAGGCCTCTCACCTGCCAAGTGAGGCACCAGTATTGGCCATTTACTAGCTGACCAATTCTGGATCATAAAGCCATTTAAATTTATCAACAAAAGGACAAAGTCTATATAATTGGTCCATATAATTTGTCTAAATTTGGATTGGGATTTATGAGTCTGGTATAGTCTGGTATAGATTTAAAAAAAAAAATGCATGCAACTTTGACTTCCAGCACCATGCCATCTCAAATACATTATAATGAATATGAAAAGTGATTGTGGATAGCCTGACTGGAATTTTTACAACAGAAAAAACAGTTAACTTTTTAAATTTCATTTATAACAGTAAATTTTCATCACAGATTGCAGGGTTACCAGTGCATTTACACGATGAGAAGTCAAAATTGTAAGTGGCCCACTTTCTTAGCTCTGCTGTAATTGCTCCTAAGATCAGGACTAGTCACAGCCTTATTTTAGAAGCCTGGCAAAGTCTTGAGCTATGAAGTCTAGAAACCTGGCTGAGTCTTGAGCCACGAAGTCAGTCTGGTTGGCATGGTGAAGGCACTCTGCCAAGTCATGTCAAGAGAAATGATTGAGCAGGGCATACTGCATGACTTATTACATAAACCTGAAACTCTACTAGTCCTACCCTACCATCACAACATCCTCATTTTTCTTCTGAGGCCCACTGCTATTTACAAGCTATGCTTTATTGATGCAATAAAGGATGAACTCAGGGGACCTCTGGGCCCAGACCTGAGATCATCTCCCCTCTCAATCAGGTTTAAGCACCTCTTGAAAGTTAACATAGCAAAAAAAAAAATAATAAAAAAAAAACAGAAGTAAAGCTCTCCTGAAGCCTCATGGCCTTGGACTACAAAATATGAACCTATACCACATTCAAAGGATTATAACTTGACCTCTAGGAATTAACATCTAGCTCTTTGGCCAACTCACCATTGTAAACAAGACTGACATGCTTTGTGCAGATTCCAAGACCTCACATTTCACGTCACTTTAGATTAGGGAATGAAGCCTCCCCTCAAATTGCAGACAATGGCCAGGCCAAGGCTTAGGCCCAAATGCACAAACCTCATTTAGGGGAGATAGAAGGGGCTTTTAAGCTAAAGAGCTCTTTTTCTCCCATAGGAATCCATGTATTCTCAAAGGACCATTAACTAAAGGAGGTTTCAAAATTCAGGGGGGAATTGTTCCTTAACTCTGGTTCAGCATCAGTTTCAGTTATCTGCAACTGAATTGCGGACGATCACGGTTCATTTTCATAAGTTGATATCACCAGACCGAAAAAGCGATTCCACCGAACAAGTTTCAAGATAGTCTCAAATTTCTGATAACTTGAGATTAACTGACGATGATTAGAGATTAACTGAAATAAACTCAACTCGTTCAAAGAAACTGCTCCCAAGCCAATTTAAAAAAAATTTATCAAATGGATCTGCTGATCCCAGTGGAAGAGTTTGCATGACACACTAAATACTACTTGTGACCTGGATCTAACTTTGCACGTAGGCCTCAAAATCGTACATTTAAATACGATAGGGATCACGTGAGGCATGGCTTCTTTTTTCGTTTTTTAATCTTGAACCCACTCCTACGTCAGCTAGACCAAGGACTAGGCCTACGAAACTTCGGTTCCGGATGGAACACCGGACGGATCTCGAGTCCCAAAGAGTACATACGGGCTTAGAGGCGTGGAGAGACCGAACCGACAGGAAATGCTTTGTTCGCACCCGTCCGCAAGGCTCGAAACTCCATTTCCGAGCTGGTCGCGATGATAAGCCTACCCAACACACGAGAGAGAAAAGGGAGAAGCCAGATGGCTCTGAGCTCACCAAAACAAGGCAAGGCGCAGAATGAGAATGCGTGCGCCGTCCCCGTTGCGGAGGGCCCAGCTGATCCCACCGCTGCGTTGCCACGCTCCACCCGCCTTCCGTTTCCGCCTCGCTCGTCTTCGAGCGGTCGCTCCGGGCTCGCCTCGACGCGGGCGGGGGGGACGGATGGCTTCTCATGCGGCGCGGTTTTGGCGCTCCTCATTTTTTCATGTCCCATATGACTCGTAAGGCTTGTCGATCGGGAGCGTGGCAACGCAGGACGGCAGCGGGTTGCGAAAAAGTGCAAGCGAGTGCGTCGAGCAACGATCCTTCAACTTGTCA